TACAGTGATTTTCTCCTTGTGTTCCATCTCCCACAGGTCTTACCACATGGTTGGCCCCATAAATGTTGGTGCATGACCGTCCAATTTTTTACGCGCCTAAACAATATCCAGTTAGGGTCTGAGAGACAGCCCAGCTGGTCCTGCAAATCACAGGCGGGTGCTCACTGACAGCAACCAGCCAGCCTGCTGACTACTTTGTTGATTACCTGACTCTCATCAAATCATTTCATGGAAGGCTGGAAAGGGACCACAATCTACTGTGCAGGGTGTCCTCTGCTAGATCCATCCATGGACCAGGCAACTGCAGAGATCAGCAGATGTGGGCCAGACCAGGCCAGTAATGGACTGGGTACTGGTTCCATAGCTCAAGGGGCCTCAGGGAGAGTGCTGTCAGTTAACTAAGTCACCAGCCCCAAGGTCCTTCTAATTCAGCCCACAATAGGCTTGCATTTAGAACTCCCTGCTGTTGCAGGAAGGCTCCCCGTGTCGCCAGTGTGAGCATTTGTGCTGTTCTACCATGTGGTTACACTGCCCAGTCTCTTATTTAGCCAACGAGAGGGTAAAAGGCGCACAAAATAACAGGGGTGGTGCCCGTTATCCTTGCAGTAGTCATCAAAGCAGCACATACCACATAGCGCTGTTTTTTGACCAAGGGATACCAAATCTCTGCTCCTTTCCATAACTGGGACCAAAACCCCAGTGGTCTACCTCAGCCTGTTTTACCACTGCCAAAGGCCCCAACCAAATCCTTCTGCAGTGACATGCATGTTAAAGTCACACGGGTAGGCTGGATGAAACATACTGAGGGCCTGGGCAGCTCACACATTTTGCGTAGCCACTGTGAAGGCTGCTTGCTCTTGCTCACCCCATTCCCAACTGATGCCCTTCTTCACCAACAGTACAAGGGTCTCAGAATTTGTGCCACTCGTGGGACAGTATCTCCGATATCCCAAAAATCCTATAAACTCCTACAACTGCTTTACTCCTGCCATCGGGGTGGGAAAGGGCTGAGTTTTGTTTATCACAGTCTCAGGAATGACCTTCACCTTACCCAACCAGACAGCTCCCGAGAATTTGACACAGTCCTGGTCCCTGACTCATTAACTGCCCAGCCACCCATCTTTAAATGGTTCAGCAAAGTAAGTATGGCTGCTTCCAACTCTAAAAGAAAGTCACAGGTTCATCACATCACTGACATGGTGGTACATACACATTGTCAGGGGTACTGGCCATTGTGCCAAATCTACACAAGGTGGGGTAATGTAGATGACCTTGTAGAAGAACAGTCGGGATCTGTTTCCAGTCGTCCCATGTGAAAATTAGCTGGTCGTGACTCTCAGGAGGTTATTTCAATAGAGAAGAAGGCATTGGCCAAATCTAAAACAGTAATGATAGGTCCCAAGTTCACGGCTGAGACAGTCCATAATACTGCCTATGAATGGAATCGCTACATGCAAGAGAGATACAATTTTATTAAACTTTTGGTATTCCACCATCATCTGCCATGTCCCATCTGGCTTTCTTATAGGCCATACTAGTGAATTAAACAGGCCTAATGATGCCTACCTTCTCCGGTTCCCCGAATCTTCCAGTAATTTCCTCATGACCCTTTGGTAGTTTATACTGAGTGGTGTTCATCACCTGATTAGGCATCGACAGCTGTACAGCGGGTGGGCAGGGTGCCCCCTCGGTGCAACTTTTTTATTTTTAAAAGCTTTATTTTATTTATTTGAAAGGCAGAGTTAGAGAAGTGAGAAAGAGAGAGGACTTCCATCCAATGGTTCACTCCCCAGATGGCTGCAATGCCCAGAGGTGCACCAATCTGAAGCCAGGAGCCAGGAGCCTCTTCCAGATCTCCCACGTGGGTGAAGGGGCCCAAGGACTTGGGCCATCTTCCACTGCTCTCCCAGGCCACAGCAGAGAGCTGGATCAGAAGTGAAGCAACTAGGACTCAAACCGGTGCCCATATGGGATGCCGGCACTGCTACATCACAGCGCCAGCCCCTCAGTGTAACTTTAACCACAGGTACTCACAGGCAGAACTCCCTTATTGCAGTTTTTGGCCATAAGCCCTGGAGAGCATCAATACCAGTAGGTGCTCAGGTACAGGGGATACATACACAGTGCATTCTCCAAGTGGTAGACACCTGATTCTCAGAGGCAGGTTTACTACTTTTATCTGGATAGCACGACCCCCATAATTATCTATGACTACCGGGAGACCCAGAAACCTCTAAGGATCGCAGTATAATGTTCATCGGCCCCTGTGTCAACTAATGCCAGCACTTGATGGCTATTAGAAGTGAGTCAGTGAATAGCCAATTCTACATGAGGTCTCTGGTGCCCACAAGTCTCAGCCAAGAAGGTACCATGGCCTTGTGCGTAACTGAACTGAGATGTCCAGTTGTTAGTCACTTCAGACAGCTCAGGGCCACTTAGAAATCCTGTAAACTCTCACTCTCTCCAACTCTGCCTTTCAGCCTTTCAAATAAATAAATAAATAAATCTTTAAGAAAAAAAAAAAAGGCCAGTGGCGCAGCTCAATAGCTAATCCTCTGCCTTGCGGCGCCAGCACCCAGGGTTCCAGTCCCAGTCAGGGCGCCGGATTCTGTCCCGGTTGCTCCTCTTCCAGTCTAGCTCTCTGCTGTGGCCCAGGAAGGCAGTGAAGGATGGCCCAGGTCCTTGGGCCCTGCACCTGCATGGGAGAACAGGAGAAGCACCTGGCTCTTGGCTTCAGATCGGTGCGGTGTGCACCCACGTGAACCTGGTTAGAGTCCCTGCTGTTCCACTTCCTATCCAGCTCCCTGTTAATATACCTGGGAAAGGAAGTCCCTGGGCCCCTGCACCCAAGTGGGAGACCTGGAAGAAGCTCCTGGTTCCTGGCTTTGGATAGGTCCAGCTCTAGCCATTGCAGCATTTGGGGAGTAAACCAGTAGACAGAAGCTCTCTCTCTTGCTCTCGCTCTGTAATTCTGTTTTTCAAATAAATAAATAAATCTTTCACATACAAAAAAAAAAAATAAAAAGGAAAGAAAACCCTGTTACCATCCTGTTCAGCCTCCACTTGGATGCTGTACTCAAACTGGGCTTCCTTGATGGCTGAAACTATCATTGCAGTTTTCATTGTTGCCATAATTCAAATTAGTCTTCCCGGCTAATTTTTCCCTGTCTGTCCCTGCTGCCAGAAAATCGACCCACATCTGGGTTCAAGTGACCCTGATTGGTTCTTTGCCTTCTTTCTTCTCTAGTTGTGGCCCGCACCCCCTTCTGAGTGTACACTGTTTCTGCCTCCCCCAAATAAGCAATGATACAGGTAATCATAGCAATAGGCTGTCCAATGGGTGGCTAGAATCACCACCAGGAGGCCAGACAGGGCAAAGGGAGCAGTCTGCAGCCCAAGTCCATCCCTGCAATAAAAACTTCTTTATCTGGCCCTTACGTCCCAGTATTCCACATTCCCAACTTTTGCAACACCTGCTGTAGTTCAGCATACATCTGCCACCTGCTGATGGCCCCAGGCATTAAGCCATACCATGTGGGCTCCCACCAGAATCCAGTCTACAAGGGCGGGTGTCCTGCCACATGACGGGTGCATCCACCCTTACATCCCACAGTTGGAGCAGCCAAGCTGCAATGGATTCAGAGGCCTTCTGCCTAACTGTAGACTCCAGATCCAGTATTTCCACCTGAGAATACAGGCAGAATACGGAAGGCTCCACCACCTGGGGGAGGGCTGCAGCTGTCCCTGTGGAACCTTCCATTGCTGAGTCTTAATTTTTTGGGTGACAACTAGGCAGGCCTTGAACAGCATCAGAGACTCAGCATCATATTCGTCATCCAGGACCTGACCACCACCACCACCACCGGTTTATCTCCAGAGTCAGGTGTGGCTTGGAGGACAGCGACCTCGATTTCCAGGGCCAGAATGCCATCTTCCCTCACCTTTCGATTTGCCTGTCTCCTCATTCTCCAAGGAATGCCCTATAACCTAGCAGTGGTTTCCACCAGAAAGACCCACCTCATGGCCCCTGCCACTGCCCAGGCATCCTTCTCTAAGGTCTCCCCAAGCCCATGCAATGTCTTTTCTTTTTTTATTTTTTCAATTTTATTTATTTTTTTTTTGACAGAGTTAGGAGACAGAGAGAAAGGTCTTCCTTTTTCCGTTGGTTCACCTCCTAAATGGCCGCCACAGCCGGCGCACTGCGCAGATCCGAAGCCAGAAGCCAGATGCTCCCTCTTGGTCTCCCATGCGGGTGCAGGGCCCAAGCACTTGGGCCATCCTCCACTGGGCCATAGCAGAGAGCTGGACTGGAAGAGGAGCAACCGGGACAGAATCCGGCGCCCCGACCGGGACTAGAACCCCAGGTGCCGGCGCCGCAGGCGGAGGATTAGCCTAGTGAGCCGCGGCGCTGGCCATGCAATGCCTTTTCTATACTAACGGGCGCACCATCCACTTTGGCCCACTCCTGGGGCAGGGGGGTCGCCCAGGCAGACAAGGCCACTGCCACCCCTGAATCCCGTCCTCTGGCGGGGAAGAACGCTCCACAGGGGCCTGAGACGAATCCCGCAGACTACCCCAAGTGTTAACTCAGGAGCTCGGCTGCAGATTCGGACAGACCAAAGAAAAACAGCGCAGCCGACTGCAGACACACCTCTTTATTACGTTGGCACAGACGGGGGCATGTTGCACATCTATGATTGTATTTTTAAAATGACCAGCTATGGCTAAAAAAAAATAAATGACCGGGCTTGGCAGCAGTGACGACAGCGAGGGTGCCGTGTTTCTGAGAGCTGTCACCCCCTCTCGCCTTTCAGCCATCATCACCGCCCCCCCTCTCTTGGATACATACCTTCTGCCCAGACCACGGACTAGCTCAAATAACTCACCACCTACTCCCAACGGCGCGCCTCCCTCCCCGCCCACCGTTGACCCCTCCGGTCCCCCCTGCCTCCTCCCCTCCCCACAAAGGATGCGTGTCCGCCGCCACGTGGCTCCAGTACCTCGCAAACCTGAGGAATGTAATTCTCCTTGAAGTAGTTCCTCACCGTGGGGCTGGCGGTGCGGAGGGAGGCCATGGTCGCGGGCCTGACCCGGGAGCTGCGGCCCGCGGACTCACAGCGCCCGGCGAGGGAGGCGCCGAGCCACGGACAGGGGCGGAACGCGTCCCGGCGTTGCCCTGGAAACCGGAGAGTCGCGGGGGGCAGGGCCGGGGCGGCGGTCTCGCGTGCCGGCGGGAACCGAACCCCGCCTCAGGGCGGCGGGCAGGGCTCCCCTGAAGGCGCGAAGCCCGTGCAGCACCAGCCGGAGTCTGGTGCCCAGCCCGCCGGGAGGCAGCCTCGGGGGACCCGGAGTGGGTGGTTTTACGGTGTTAGCGGGGCGGCTTCCGGGAGGCGGAGCTCGGGCCGCTGTTTCCTCCCTCAGCTCAGCTGCGCTCCGGTGGCGTCAGGCCCCGCGCACGCTGCAGGCCTCCACCAGCCTTGTCCCAGCGGCGGCATGATCGGTGTCCGGCACGCGAGCTGGGTGGCGGCGGGCCTGGTCCTGGGGGCCGGCGCCTGCTACGGCATTTACTTGCTGACGCGGGGCCGGCGGCGCGGTGGCCGCGGGCTGGGGCCGCGCCGCTCGGGATCAGCTGGTGAGGCCACGGGGTGCGGGGGTCCATGCAGCGCCCCTGAGGCGGGGAGGGAGACAAACCGAGGAGTCGGCCGGGAGGAGGGGACGGGCTGGCGCGGTGGGGAAGCCGGGGGCTTGGGGGGCGGCTGTGCCTGGCCTTGGTGGGTGTGCAGGCCTGAGCTACCTCCCTGGTCTCCACGCCTTTGTTCTCAGCCCCGGGATGGAAAATTGGCCACCCGTGGAGAGTTTGGTGCTGCCCGGGCCTCACTTGAAAGCTTGCGCCGGGGCCGTGGCGGTCTGGAGGGATTCCCCTGGCCCCTGCGGGGGCCCAGAGCCACGTGCAGCACCCCCGGGAGAAGGCACCCGCCGTGGCGCCTATGAGGGGAGAGGGGCCTGGAAGTCGCGGTGGTCCAGCCCCTCACAGCTTGGTGCGTGCGTGTGGATGCGTGTGTGTTGTCTGCTCTCGAGGCATGCACCCTCCCGGCGGACAAGACTGGGATGAGGTTGCTGTCGGGAATCCTAGGTTTGCTAAATGTTCTGGAGAGAAAGTTCAGGCCCTGGAAACTGTTAGGGAAGTGGTTAAAAATAAAATGTGGGCGGGGGTTTCTTGGGACACCCGCCTCCCAGGCAGGCATACCTGGTTCCTCTATGCTCTACTCTGCTTCTAATCCAGCTTCCTGCTCAGCGTGCCCTGGGAGGCAGCAGGTGATGGCTCAAATACCTGGGTCCCTACCACTCACCTGGGAGACCCGGATGAAGTTCCTGGCTCTTGGCTGTTGGAGAGTGAACCAGCAGATGTAAAATCTATGGCCCTCTCTCTTTCTCTACCTTTCAAATAAGTAGATATTTAAAAAAAAATAGTAAAAATTTTAAAAATGGGTTGGTGCTGTGGCATAGTGGATAAAGCAGCCATCTGTAGCACCAGCAGCCCATTTGGGTGCTTGTTGGAGTCCAGCTGCTCTACTTCTGATCCAGCTCCCTGCTAATGCACCTGGAAGAGCAATGGAGCCATGGCCCACCCTGGTGCTTGGGCCTCTGCCGCCCATGTAGGAGAGCCAGATGAAGCTCCTGGCTCCTGGCTCCTGGCTTTGGACTGACCCAGCTCCAACCATTGTGGCCATTTGGGGGAATGAAACAGTAGATGGACAACCACTCTCCCACCCTCTTTTTGTAACTCTGCCTTTCAAATAAAATAAATCTTTAAAAAGAAAAAAAATCTAAACAATATTGCTGCATTAGCACTAAACCAGATTGCCTGGCACATCTCAGACAATGTGCTAATGGGATTGCAGAAGCAATTTGTATTCTTTTAACGTAGCCATGCGCATGCAACAGATTTCATGTTACAGACGTGTTCTCAAGAGAAATGTTAAGAAGACTTGACAGTAGCGTTGGCCACCTATAGTTCACCCTACAATCACTGGTAATTGGGGTGTTAGTTAATTGCCTTTACCCACAGACAATAAGATTTCTTTCCTTTGTGATAAAGCAAATAGTTAAAAATAGCTAGGCTAAACTCCCACAGAAATGGGGAGATGGGATCTTACTTCTTTTTTTTTTTTTTTTTTTTGACAGGCAGAGTGGATAGTGAGAGAGAGAGAGACAGAGAGAAAGGTCTTCCTTTTGCCGTTGGTTCACCCTCCAATGGCCGCCGCGGCCAGCGCGCTGCGGCCGGCGCACCGCGCTGATCCGATGGCAGGAGCCAGGAGCCAGGTGCTTTTCCTGGTCTCCCCATGGGGTGCAGGGCCCAAGCACCTGGGCCATCCTCCACTGCACTCCCTGGCCACAGCAGAGGGCTGGCCTGGAAGAGGGGCAACCGGGACAGAATCCGGCGCCCCGACCGGGACTAGAACCCGGTGTGCCGGCGCCGCTAGGCGGAGGATTAGCCTAGTGAGCCACGGCGCCGGCCGGGATCTTACTTCTTAATGACTGTATTTCAAAGAGATGGCTCCTCAGCCCTTAGAAAGACTCTTGTGTTGTAAAAATGGCTACAGACTTACTTAACACTTACTTAAAATTTTTTTTAATTGTCTTTTTATTTGAAAGGCACAGAGACAGAGATCTTCTATCCACTGGTTCACTTCCCCAGTGCTTGCACAGCCAGGGTTAGGCCAGACTGAAGCCAGGAACTGGGGACACAATCTAGGTCTCCCACATGGATGGCAGAGATCCAAGTACCTGAGCCATGGCCTGCTGCCTCCCAGGGAAGCTGGAATTGGAAACAGAGTTGAGACTTGAACCCAGGCACTGCAATATGGGGATCCAGGTTTCTCTAGAGGCAACCCAATTGTCTACCCCTTGCTAAGCTTTTTAAAAGGCTTACATTTATGACAAAGAGACAAAAGATAATTACATGTTGGCTCAAGGAATTGTTCTAAGAAAAGGGAGTGGGAGGGGTCTCTATCCTGTCACAAGGGAAAAACTTTTTTAATTTATATTTATCCTTACTAAATAAAGCCTAATTTATTGTCTTCCTCTGTGGGAGATTTTTGTGTAAGTACCTGGGGTGCTGGTCTGCGCTAACTTCTCACTTACGCTGATTCAACCTGATGAACACTGACAGTCTTACTTTTAAATTTAATTTTACCAATTCTCATAATCATCATTATCTTAGATCAGTCAACTTAAAAATAAGTTGTTTGTGGTCCCATCTTCCTGAAGCTACACCCTTGTCTTTGAAGAAGGCTTAAGAAATACCCACTTTGTCATCATCATCCTTTAGTTTTTAGAAGCTGATTTTTTCTCTGTCTTAAACTAAGAAATTTGTCATTCTTGTGCTGTTAAGACTATTTAAGAACATTGAAGAGGATGTAAACAGTCCCAAATCATTCAACAGCCTGATACCCAAACCTGATAAGGATAGCGTGAGAAACTACAATTAGTTATTAATAAATATATAAAAACATTACATCCTTATTAAGTATACCAGAGGATTAAAAAAATAAAACACCAAGTGAACATGCAAGGAGAATCATATTTAGAAACCTGTTCGTGTAATTTGTTGCATTAATACATGAAAAGCAAAAACCACATGGTGATCTCAAAATGGCATTAAAATATCAATTTTGGTCAAAATTTAATGGCAGGTTAGAAAAAAATGGGAGGCAGTGTTTTTCTTTTTTGTTTTTTGTTTTTATTTATTTGACAGAGTTAGTGAGAGAGAGAGAAAGGTCTTCCTTCTGTTGGTTCATCCCCCAAATGGCTGCCACAGCTGGAGCTACACCAATCCGAAGCCAGGAGCCAGGTGCCTCCTCCTGGTCTCCCATGTGGGTGCAGGGCCCAAGCACTTGGGGCATCCTCCACTGCCTTCCTGGGCCACAGCAGAGAGCTGGACTGGAAGAGGAGCAACCGGGACTAGAACCCAGCTCCCACATGGGATGCCGGCGCCACAGGTGGAGGATTAACCAAGTGAGCCACAGCGCCGGCCGGTGTTTTTGAAGAGCATCCATTGTACACCAGAAGTAAATCTGATGAGTAGTAGAGCACTAATAGTAGCTTTTCCAAACTCAAGAACAGGGGAAGTCTGCCCGCTGTCAGACTGTTGGCATTGTCTTGGCATCATAGGCATCGTAACAAGACAAAACAAGATAAGATGCATCAATATTAGAAAGGAGGTAGAACTATAATTTGTAAGTAGCATGATGATTTATTTGGAAGAATCAAAAGTAACTACTAGAAGCAGTAAGAGTTTAATAAAGTAACTTGAGTGCAAGATAAGTAAATCAATAGCTCCATCTATACAAACAATAGCCAGTTAAAATTTGTAATTGGAAAGATTTTACTCGTGGAAACTATAAGAACTTTCAAAACTGGAAAACATTTACCAAGAAGTCTATGTGAAAATAATTGTATTGAAATACCTAAGTCTACATGAATAGAGATTTCCTCGTTGGAAAGATTGTACACCATATTTTGAAACTTACCTGGCTATGTTACCATTTGGCAGTCACTTGTGATTGCCTTTGAGAAACGTAATTTCCCATTTCCTGGCGGGCTGACAACCCCTGAGCCACGGTTCTCTCAGTCTTGCTGACACAAAGCTCAGTGACACACAGTGTGAGACAGCCTCACCTGTGACGTAGTTCAAAAACAACGTAGAGGATGATCGCTATCCTCTAGAATTTTAAGTTTCTTATTTCTTACTCAAAAAATTAATACATGGTTTTTATTTAAAATTCAAGCAATGGAGAAGTTAAAATTTATTTACAAAATTAAAGGCTCATCATTGTGATATATAAAGAGGAATGGTGGTAAAGGAGGAGCAACAGATTGGGAATAAAATATCTGGATTCAAGAACCAGTTTTGTTATTAATCCGCTATAGGTCTTATTAATAACCATAACTAAAATACAGCAGGTACAATGTTCTAGACACAAAGAGGCTTTGAGGCAGGTGCTATTAATTCCCATTTAACGATGAGAAAACTGAAGCTTAGGTTAAGTTTCTCGCCTGATAAGAAACTTTACTGCAATGTGAATTAGTCACTTTGGCTCCCATAGCCTTGGCTTTGAACTACCACACTGTATCGCCTACCTTCAAGTAGGAGGCTGGTGTCATGGTATAGCAAGTAAAACTGCCACCTGTGACCCCTGCATCTCATGTGGACTCTAGTTCATGTCCCAGCTGCTCCACTACCAATCCAGCTCCCTGCTAATGGCCTGGGAAAAGCAGTGGCAGATGGCCCAACTGTTTGGGCCTCTGTCACCCACAGGGGAGACCCAGATGAAGCTACAGGCCTCCTGGCTTTTCACTACATCTGAGGAGTGAACCAGAGGCTGGAAGATCTCTCTTTCTCTCTCCTTCTCTCTTTTTTTTTTCCTCTCTCTATTACTCTAGAAAAATTAATAAATAAATCTTTTTTTAAAAAATCTGTGTAGGAACCTTTGGAGCCAGCTAATAGTCTTAGAGCAACCCTTTTATTTACAGATGAGAAAACAGACCCAAAAATATGTTAATTAACTTGCTGACAACTTTGTATTTTCCTTTCTCTGGCCTCTGCTACTACCCCTATGACTCTAGGCAAATCCTTAAGTTATCCTGGTTTAACTCTCTTTGTGTGTAAATGTCCACAACAACGAGCACTGGCCAGGCGGAAGCCAAGAGCCTAGAACTCTATTCAAGTCTCTCACGCAGCTGGCAGGGACCCAAGTACTTGGGCCATCACCATTGCCTCCCACGGTGCACAATAGCAGGAAGCTGGATCAGAAGCAGAGCAGCCAAGACTCAAACCAGCACTCTGATATGGCTTCACATGCAGCAGTTTAAGCACTGTGCCACAATGTTGGCCCCCGAAAGGGTCTTCTAAGTCCTTTTTTCCATGAACTTTCTGAAACCCTCATATTATTTGCACTCAGTGTTTTCCTAATAAGCCAAGTTAGTTAATTTCTTGATGTCTGTAAGCCCCAGATTTCTATCTGAAAATTGAGACTAATAACATTATCTTCTCTCTAAGGTGGTTTGAGGATTAAATGAGATAAAGCATGTTAATTAACATAACGTTAATTAACATAACAAATAACAAGTTAATTAACATAAAACTGTCCCTGGCAACAGAACATGTGTTCAATATATTTTTTGAATTAAAAAACTCTCACAGTGACTTTAAGTGAACTTTAAATAACTTTTTTCCTATGCAGAAGACTTAACCAGTGGTTCACATGATGATGTCCTAAATGCCAGCCAACTCCAGAAACTTCTTTACCTGCTCGAGTCCACTGAAGACCCTGTCATTACTGAAAGAGCTTTGGTCACTCTGGGTAACAGTGCAGCCTTTTCAGCTAACCAGGTAAGTACCCTAGTCCAAGCAAATGAGCTCCTCCCATTCTTATACACTCACAGTAATTGTGACCCTGGATAAGACACTTACCCTCCTAGAGCCTCAAGTATCCATACAGTGTGGCTATTTATACCTACAACATAGTGTTTGTTTATTTAAAGTGCACCCTAATAGTAATGCAGTTATTAATAGAATCTCAGGCCCCTGTGAAGTTAGCCACTAGCATCACATTCATGGTAAGTGTATCTCATTGACATTTAGCATTGTTTGACTTTTGTTTAAAAGGTTTATTTATTTATTTTAAAGGCTGAGTTACAGAGAGGCAGAGGCAGAGAAAGAAAGAGAAGTCTTCATCTCCTGGTTCACTCCCCAAATGGCTGCAACAGCCAGAGCCAGGCCAGTCCAAAGCCAGGAGCCAAGAGTTTCTTCCTGGTCTCCCACACAGTATGGTGCCTTGATCTATGTTACAGTACAGTTGTTTGTTTGCTCTTTAATAAAAAGGCACCTCCCACCTCCACCCTACCCCCGCCATGACTGAATGTCTCTGAGAGAAGCTGGAATTGCAGAAGGGAAATTTTCTTTTTCTCTCAATGCTCAGCCCACTGTTAACAGTATAGTGCAGTAGATGACAGCGGTCACGTTCCTTTTCTGATGGGATGACCCCATCGTGGCAGGGCGGGACTCATTGTCAGTTTATGTTTCCTATGTTAATTAAAGTAATCGGTACTTCTTTCAATGTTAGGGTGAAAGATACATGGTAACAGTGTTATAGTGAGTCCTGAGAAACCCAGGAAATTGTTCCTTTGAAAATTTGGATACCATTTTTCAAACTGTGTAGAGCTCCAGTTCTGCAAGATGTAACTGTCTTTCTTCCCACCACTGAAAAATGGTCCTCTTTTTTGTACAGTTCACAGAAGTAGAATAGTCAGTACCTGCCTCTTAGAGATTCCCAGTATGCATGAACGTATTAATGCCTCACAGTAAAAAATGCTTCGTCTTGTAATACCCATATTTTCACAAGCTTACATAGTTGTAGGACGTCTCCCCTTTTTGAGAACTGTCTATCAATATCTTGAGGGATTGTGTTACAAAGAACATGTTAGTAAAACACCACTTTAATATTCTAAATCATAACACTTTTCCAAGTTTTCTTATACCAGAGAAGTCCTATGTCATTTCAAAGTAAAATAACACTGGGAATTGCTTTGAGATCATTACAGAAACTTGGCAAATAGTGTATCTCCATGCTGTGTTTTAAATAAGTATCTCAATAATTCTGTTTTCAGTTGATTTTATTGCTTACTAAATTGTGAGTAGTGGTGGTTTTTTTTTTGTTTTTTTTTTTTTTTTTTTAGAAAGAGAAATTACAGATTTATGTTTGGGAGAGGTATTTCTAAAACTCATTAACTTTTAATTGTATTCGTGAATGTAGAAAATTCAATGCAGCAGATGCGTACTGAAGTCCTGGCCCTGTTTTTTGCCCTCGTAGGCCATTATTCGTGAATTGGGTGGTATCCCAGTTGTCGGAAACAAACTCAACAATCCCAACCAGAGCATTAAAGAGAAAGCCTTAAATGCACTAAATAACCTGAGTGTGAATGTCGAAAATCAAGTCAAGATAAAGGTAAGCCGCCGGAAATCACCAGTGAATAAGGTTTTCCTTAAATGAAAGCAAAAGTAACAAAAAGGTAAGTGATGAAACTTTTAAGAGATTGCCCTTTAAAACTCTGTGGCCAGGAGTTACCGTTAGAGGAATGGAGAGTAGGGCAGAGAAGGAACCATCCAATTAAGAGCTACAATGGACTTTGAAGTGGGAGTTCAGTTTAATCCAAGGACGTTAAAGGAACCAGTAGAGAGTCAGGTAACATCAACAGGGAGACACAATAAAGTAGAAAATTACGTTAAAACGCAACATTTATCTAGTATCTACTCTATAGTACAGAGTACAGAAGTGAACATGATACAGCTTTTGTTCTAAGAAAGCTACAGAGAAGTGCTTTAAAGAAAAATGTAGGGGGCTGCGCTGTGGCATAGGAGGTTAAGCCTCTGCCCATGGTGCTGGCATCCTGTATGGGCACTGGTTCAAGTCCTGGTTGCTCCTCTTCTGATCCAGCTCACTGCTCTGGCCTGAGAAAGCAGTGGAGGATGGCCCAGGTGCTTGGCCCCTGCACCCACATTGGAAGATCTGGAAGAAGCTCCTGGCTCCTGGCTTCAGATTGGCTCAGCTCCAGCCATTGCAGCCATTTGGGGAGTAAACAAGGGGATGGAAGACCTCTCTCTCTGTCTCTCCCTCTCTCTGCAACTCTACCTCTCAAACAAATAAATAAATCTTAGAAAAATGTAAGTACAACACTGTCCAGTACGTAGAAAAGAGAGAGCCCTTTGAAGAGTTTCTGTAAGAAGTAGATTCTTACTTTACTGTTAAGAATGTCCAAGGTTTCTACAGATGGAGTTAGGAAAAGTGAGAATTCCAAGAAAAAGGAACAAGGTGAGGTGGACACAGCTCCACGAATAACAGAGCTGGCCCACTTGATGATCTCGCTAGCCTGGAAGCAGTGAAAAGCTTCCAATGTAAGAATGTAGGTGTTCATCACATTTTAGGAAATGCTTTGAGAGATATCAGCATCTTGAGAAGAAATGGGATTTATAAAGAGCTAAAGAAATGTCATTTTTAAAAAGAATAATTATTTGTGAACAAACAACTAGTATATGTAATTTATTATTTTTTAAAGGAAGTTGTTTTATTTTTAATTTCTTTGAAAACCAGAGAGACAAACAGATTTTCTATCTGATGGTTCATTCCCCAAATGACTTATGATACCTAGGCTGAGCCAGTCCAAAGCCAAGACCCTGGGACTCAGTTGAGGTCTCTCACATGGGTAGCAGGGACACAAGCTCTTGAGCCATCACCTGCTGCCTCCCAGAGTGCACGTTAGCAGGAAGCTGGAATCAGGAGTTGAATTAGGACTTGAACCCAGGCACTCCACTAGGGTATGCAGCTTCTGTGGTGACATGGAGAAACTGGGGGATTTTTTTTTTAATTAATGATGGTCGATGGGATAATTGGTAATTTCCTAGCACTTCAAATTGGGAAAATTTTGTTACCTGTTTGAACTTTTGGTAGAGTTCAGATTTAGTTGGGTGAATGCCACCTATTTGTGAAACTTTGTTAAATCAGATCATGGCCATACATAGAAAACAGTTTCAGAAAACTTTCCAACACACTTTATATCATCCTGGGCTTAGTTTCTCATATATGAAGTAGGAATAGATCCTGGATTGCAATATACTTTTTGCCAGTGGTAGTTAACAATACTATGAAAGGGTATATCATATAAATATGCACTTAGGTAATTAAGGAGAACCTTGCACCAAATACAACTTTATTCTGTTTATCCTATTTCACTTTGACCCCTCATTTTTTTTTTAAGATTTATTTATTTATTTATTTATTTGAAAGGCAGTGTGGAAGTGGGAAGGGAGGCAGAGAGAAAGAGAGAGAGAGAGAGAGATCTTCCATCTGCTGGTTCACTCCCCAGATAAACTCCCCAGGTCTGGCCCAGGGCCAAGCCAGAAGCCAGGAACTCCATCCCCATTTCCACAGGGGTGGCAGGGCCCCAAGCAGTTGGGCTATCATCTGCTACTTTCCCAGGCACATTAGCAGGGAAGTTGATCAAAAGCAGAGCAGCTGGGACTCAAACCAGCACTCCCATTTGGGATGCCAGTATCACCAGCGGTATCGCAAGTGGCAGCTTACGCCTCTGCACCACAACACCGACTCCTTGACCGCCATTCTGTGCTGACGTGGTGTACTCTCTAGACCCTATTGGTAAGGCACCTAACAAGATACAGTATAGCCTCACACATCTTCCTTCCTGATCATGGCAAAACAAAAAGTTGAACTGAGTTGAGAGACCCTCAACCCCAACAAGAGAGAGTTGAGAGCATGAGCTCTGGGCATGGACATTGCTCCCCAACCTGTTGGCTGACAGAGGGCAGGGGACCCACGCTCCTTGAAGTTTTAGTCTTTGTAAGCCAGCAGATGCAGCACCCACCTGATTAAAGTCGATTTCAGGATTAAGTGAGGTTTAGTGGCAAAACGCATAGCATCATGCCTGGCATTCACAAAGGTGGCTTGGAAAAGCCTCTACACCTTGAGGTCATCCTTTCCGAGGAGCCACTTCCACCCGGAGCCCTTGCCCTCCTCCCCTGTGTGGAAAAATGACTGCTTCACACAAGAACACCAGGGTTGCTCACTTGCTCACTCTTTCCCCTGCTGCCTTCAGATGTACATCCATCAAGTCTGTGAGGATGTCTTGTCTGGCCCCCTGAACTCCGCTGTACAACTGGCTGGACTAAGACTCTTAACAAACATGACCGTGACCAACGACCACCAGCACATGCTGAGCAGTTACATTACAGACCTGTTCCACGTGCTACTCGCTGGAAACGGACACACCAAGGTATGCAGGGATCATTACTCAAAGGGCAAAGAGCTGGCGCATCAGCCTACCCAAACTGAAGTTGAGTATCAGGTATCTCAAGTTGGTATCCCTCAAAAAAGAGAAAGTTCAGTCAAGGTTTGTTAAAAATGCGCCCAAGACAGTATACTATTTTTGCAAAATTAGTAAAAATCACGCATAATCCCTAACCAATAGATTGGTGTTCATTCGGTTTTCTGAGAATCAGTAAAAATACCTTTATGTGAAGTGAAGTAGCTAACTTTTCCCCCCAAACATACAAACATTGTGGTAAAAAGGTTTTTTTGAATGGTAATAGTGGTTAGCTGAATTTTTTTTTTGTCTTACTTCAGGCTTAAAACATTTTTCTGATTCAGCCATTAACTTGTTGAAAATCTTTCTAAAACCACTTTGAAGCTGTAGGAAGTGAAGCGGATGTGTGAAGGCTGTCTCGGTGCCTCACATTGTTCAGTCATGCAGACGTAGGAGGCCACAGAGACAGAGCTGAATTAGGATGGGATACCTCAGGAGACGCCTATGAACGTTTCCTGACTCCATCGTATTACTGCGCAGTGATCTCATTGCCTGTTTTCAAGAGAAGAACTAAAATGTAGGTTCATCAAACATTCTGGTAGTTGGGTTGGCTGTTCCTCAGGGTTTTACCCTATCTGCGGTCACTGCAGTTACCTCTGAGGCTACCAAGATGTGATTACAGGAGGGCCTCACTGCACAAGCAGCCCTGCTTCTGTGTGACAGAGGGCTTTGTGTATGGGCCCTCTACCTGTCCCCCAGCCAGACCTACTTGGACATGGCCCAGGCTGCACACGAAGGCATTCCAAATTAGATGTAAGAGTTAGTCCTTCTCCAGTAACACTGCTCCGTCTCCAGCCAGCGTCCAATATGCCCCCATCGGCAGCTCTCTTTCCAGTGGGGCAAGATGACTTCCAGCCGAGTCCCCGCCGTACCTCCTTTCCTCTTCGTTCCATGGTGTTGCCATACTAGGAAAACTGCTCCTTTGCCTGTCTCTACACTGCTTTACCCAAGCCTCCAGGAGGAACATGGAGTTCAGAGGCAGGCAGGTCTGGCCTTGGGCGTGTATATTTCTGTCTATGTTTTCATATATTTTACAATTTTATAAAAGGTGACTCACACCACAATAATAGTATTTCTGTTTTTGTTTTGTTTTTCCATTACATTACCTAATATATTGCTGGGATAGAAAAAAAATTTTTTTTGATCTACCTGGGAGCATAGCCACCATTATAATGTCATTTCTCCATAAAATTTGAGTGTAAAATTCCCAACTTACAAATAAACTTTTAAACAGTCATATCTTTGATAGTGGGAAAATATATCCATTTTAGACTGTCTTAGTAAATAACTACCAAAATGACTTTAAAAATCGTATTTTGCTTAAAGCCATGATCTCACTTTACTTTTTTAAAAAAATTAATTTAGTTAATTGAGAGCAGAAGCATAGACAGACAGAGCCCCCCCCCCCCCCCATCTTCTGGTTCCTTCCCCAAATGCCCACAACAGCTCCTGGTCAGGCCAAAGGAGGAAGTCAGGGTCTCAGTCCAGGTTTCCCATGTAGGTGGCAAAGACCCAAGTACTTGAGCCATCACCACTTCCTCCCAGGGTGTGCATTAGCAGGAAGCAGGAATCAGGAGCAGAGTAAGGACCTGAACCTAGGCGCTCTGATATGGTTTGTGGGCATCCCAAACAGCATCTTAATTGCTGCACGAAACATTCACCCCCTTACTTTATTGTTAAATAACATTTTTATATACTTGTTATTTTATTATATGCTTTGTTATATACTTTTTATTTTCATTATATACTTTATACTTGTTATATTTTTATATACTTGTTATACCTTAATATATACTTGTTGTATACAAATAGTGGAAGATTTAGATGAGTAAACCGTGTGTTTGCTACATTGCAAGGAGAGTGAATAAATCTAACAGATTAAAAATAAATGTCCTGGAGTCACCACAAGATGGCATGCGTGACTAAAGGGAAAAAGCAGGCCTCACTATGGTTTCAAACCAATATATGTATTTAATTATATGTATTTAATACACATTTAATCTATAGTTGTCTTCCACATTTCACTCCCTTCTCCCAAGAATAGCAACATCAATGTTTTCTACAGGATACTATTGTATGCCTGCCCTCCTTGACTGCTGATGAATCTATTCTATTCTATTCTATTCTATTCTATTCTATTCTATTCTATTCTATTTGAGAGGCAGAATTACAGAGAGAGAGAGGGAGGGACAGAGAGAGAAGTCTTCTATCCATCGGTTCACTCCTCAAATGGCCACAACTGCCAGAGCTGGGCTGATCTGAAGCCAGGAGCCAGGAGCTTCTTCTGGGTCTCCCACGCAGGTGCAGGGGCCCAAGCACTTGAGTCATCTTCCACTGCTTTCCCAGGCCATAACAGAGAGCTGGATTGGAAGAGGAGCAGGCAGGATAGGAGCCAGCGCACATATAGCATGCTGGTTGGTCTTTGCTAGATTCTATATTGACTTTCTCTAGCTTATTTCATAGATTCAGGACTATCCAATTTCTTAATTCTCATTCCTGTTTTTCTAATCAAGACTTCATTGACTGTGGAGACACATGTTTCTACCTGACACGTATTCTTGGTGCTGCTGACCACCAGATACACCAGATGAGATGTGACAGTGAGCGCACTACAGAGGGTCAGAGTCTACCTGGTTCACCTTCAGAGGCCATCATTTATTTATGAGGAGAGTCTGCCTGAAAGACAATGATCTCTGCACGTACAAGAAGCATTACCAGGAGTCAGGCCTCAGGTCTGAGATGGGCTGCTAGGATGCTGGTTTTTGTTCTAATCTGGCTCCTTTATTTCTGCAGTGTTTGAAATGATGACCACGTATTGTTAGCCTTATACAAACTTTTTAAAAAATCATTGATAAAACAATTTAATTAACCAAAGCCTTGTATCTTTCTACTTCATAAATAAATGAGTAGGTACAACATGAACAAAGGCATTGTGAGTATACAATACAGGGTATATGCCTAAAGACCAAAAATAATAAGCATTTCTGGTCATGAAAATATGAGTGAACTTCTTTTTTCTTTGTGTTTTCCCATATTTACAAAGAATGCTTTAGATGGTAAACGTCTCTTGCCTTTATAATCAAAAGTTTTATAAACAACCTGCTTCTTTCCTAGGAAGCACATCTGTCACCTCTCCCTGACTTTAGCATCCCTCCACTCCTCACTTTAATTTCAAGTACAAGGGATCTTGCAAAAGTTCATGGAAAATGCACACTATAAAAAGCTATGCATTGATTTCAGAAGTTTTTGCATCAAAATAAACCTTTTTTAATTCCACTTTCCCATGAACATTTTGAAGTCCCCTCCTATCTTGTACAACAGTGTGGTTTCACCCTGGCCTGTTTTTAAAAGAGGAACTCTATTAGAAAGTTTTTATTATTGACTTTGCAGAAATAAGAGAAGAGTGTTGACATTTTGGCTAGTCAATTATTCAGTAACATTTGTTTGCTGATAACATCACTGTGCCCATTTAAATGGCTGTAAAACATTTTTCACAACAAAAAGAGATAACCTTAAAGAATCATGGTGCCGGCGCCGCGGCTCAACAGGCTAATCCTCTGTCTTGCGGCGCCGGCACACCGGGTTCTAGTCCCGGTCGGGGCACCGGATTCTGTCCTGGTTGCCCCTCTTCCAGGCCAGCTCTCTGCTGTGGCCCCGGAGGGCAGTGGAGGATGGCCCAAGTCCTTGGGCCCTGCACCCCATGGGAGACCAGGAGAAACACCTGGCTCCTGCCTTCGGATCAGCGTGGTGCGCCAGCCACGGCGGCCATTGGAGGGTGAACCAACGGCAAAGGAAGACCTTTCTCTCTGTCTCTCTCTCTCACTGTCCACTCTGCCTATCAAAAAAATTTAAAAAAAAATTAATTAATTAAAAAAAATTAAAAAAAAGAATCATGGTAACCTACTAAAATGAAAAAGGCCACATTGTTACTGGTCTCGGTAACCAAATTTTATACATTTTAAGCAGAAATGAACTGAGATTTGAGTTGGTTTGTTGGTGATTCTAAAGATCTTACTTCATTTGTCAGTAATATAATAAAGAACACTTAATGTGTTGTTTATAATGAATTAGGAATGTGTCTGAGGGAGGGGTGAATTATGAAGAAAGTCACAATATGAGGGCACTTCAAAAATTTGTAGAGCGTGAAATTAAAAGGTATGTTTATTTTGGTGCCAAAAAGCATGGATTTCAAAAGTATTTTTGCACCAAAATAAACGTCTTTTAAAATTTTTATTAGTTATTTTTAATATTTACTTATTTATTTTAAAGGTAGAGTTAGAGAGAGAGAGAGAGAGAGAGAATATCTTCCATCCACTGGGTTCACTCCCCAGATGGCCACAGTGGCCAGGGCTGGGACTCCTTCCGGATCTCCCACTGGGTACCAGGGACCCAAGTGCTTGGGTCATCTGCTGCTGCTTGCCCAGGTGCAGTAGCCTGGTGCTAGATTAGAAGCAGAGCGGCCAGGACTCCAACTTGCTCTCATATGGGATGCTAGAGTCACAGTTGGCCGCTTAACCCCCTGTGCCACACTGCTGGAAAATCAGCATTGTGTGCCAGAAAAAACCAGGTTGACAGAAGATGGCTGTGCAGTGAGTGCTGGGAGAGCAGTGCCAAGTTTTGTAGGAGTTCATTTGATGTGCAAGGAATTGTGAAGGCTCCGTGGAGTACAGAGGATGACCGAGGTCCTGGAGGGCAGGTGGACACACTGAGGGGACAGCGTGCTAGGAAGAGAGAAAGTGTGCTTGCTGGTCTGAAATAAACCAATATTCTTATTTCAGGTTCAAGTTTTGAAACTGATTGTGAATTTGTCTGAAAATCCAGCTATGACAGAAGGACTGCTTACTGCCCAAGTAAGTACCCTGCATACTTTTCTTAAAGATTTGTTTGTTTGTTTGTTTGTTTGAAAGGTAGAGGAACAGAGAGAGAGAGAAGAAATCTTCCGTCTGGTGCTGGATCTAACACCCAGGGCTGGGCCATGCTGAAGCCAGGAATCTGAAACTCCATCTGGATCTTCCACGTGTGGGAGGCAGGGGCCCAAGCACTTGGACCATCTTCCTCTGCTTTCCTAGATGCCTAAGCTGTAGCTGGATAGAAAGCAGAGCAACTGGGATTCAAACTGGTGCTCCAATAAAGGGTTGCCAGTGTCACAGGCGGCGGCTTAACCCACTCTGCTACAACACCAGCCCCTGGCTTACATATCTTTTTGTAAACACGTAGATTTGGGCCGGCACCACGGCTCAGTAGGCTAATCCTCTGCTTGCGGCACCGGCACCCCAAGTTCTAGTCCCGGTTGGGGCGCTGGATTCTGTCCCGGTTGCTCCTCATTCCAGCTCTCTGCTGTGGCCCAGGAGTGCAGTGGAGGATGGCCCAAGTCCTTGGGCCCTGCACCCGCATGGGAGACCAGGAGAAGCACCTGGCTCCTGGCTTTGGATCATTGCAGTGGGCTGGCTGCGGCGGTCATTGGAGGGTGAACCAACAGAAAAAAGGAAGACCTTTCTCTCTCTCTCTCACTGTCCACTCTGCCTATCAAAAAAAAAACAAACAAACAAACAAACAAACAAAAAAAAAAAAACGTAGATTTGAACAGATCTGGAAAGACTTAATCCAAAAATACTAAGAGACATGATCTGTGAAAAATAATATAGTAGGTGATTTTCAGTTCTCTTTTCATATATGACTTTTCTAAATTTTCTGCAAGTGTATTTTACTTTAAAGTTCTCCCTCGCAACAATGAATTATCATTTTTCTGTCTCTAAACAGTTTTGGGTATACCTATGGCATCACACCTCTTAGAGGTGGCCTGTTTTAATGCACACACATCTGAGCGTCCACTGAAACACAGTATGGAGTCCCCTGCTGAGACACACCAACAAGCCCTTGGCACTCGCTCTCATAGATTTTACAGTGTAGTGGAAAGACCAAATACCGAACAAGCGAGCAGGAGCATTAAAAGCTGTGGCAGGCGCTCTGAAGGAAGCAGAAGGGATGCCAAGGTACAGTGGAGCTCAGCTCCTGTAGCAGGGGCACCTGCACCCACGTCTGCTCTCCCTTCTCCCCCCTCTGGGCCCCAGTGTCTGGGCAGTAAATACTTGATGGATTAGTGATTAGCTGAGAAGTAGACGATGGATCTTAGAAAGAAAATGGATATTTTTCCAAATGACTACACACTGGGATTCCAAGAAAATTGTATATTAAAGTTAATATTCCCACAGGAGATTTAAAATGCAACACTTTGCACACAGCTGTACTGTATGATGATGACACTGTTTCCCGTTTCAGGTGGACTCATCATTCCTTGCTCTGTACGACGGCCACGTGGCAAAGGAGATTCTTCTTCGAGTCCTTACACTGTTTCAGAACATAAATAACTGCCTCAAAACGGGAGGCCGCTTAGCCGTTCGGCCACCCTCCCCTCAGGGCTCACTGTCTCTCCTGTTGTACGGAGAAGAGTGTGCCCAGAAAATGAGAGCGCTGGCTTCTCACCAAGATGCGGACGTGCAAGAGAAGGCCGTGACAATCATACCAGAATTCTGATGGCTCGGTCCTGTTTTTCCAAGGAATATTGCAGTCTGGAAGCAACGTACGTCCACCTATTTTCCATTTTCCTGGTACGGGCTTCCAGCTTCTGAAGTTAACCAGTAAATAGCATATTTCATCATTTGCACACTACAGATTAAGCATCCCTCATTTAACGTGCTTTAAAAATTCAGATTTGGGGGCATTTTTAAGGTTTTAAGATTAGGCATTCTCAACAATGAAGTTTATGCAAGTAATCCGAAAATCTCCCAGAGAGAAACACTCAGGTCACGAGTGTTTTGGAAAAGGAATACGTGTATGTTACCATGGTCTTCAGGTTTATTTTGGACCATTTTATTGAATATCACAGCCTGCATGGATATCACCTGGTTTTGCTTTGCTTACAGGAAGGGGCGGTGGCCTTTTCGTGTATAAGCTGCCCTCTGCTGTTGGGGTGATCTGTGGGTAACCCTCTGAGACAGCACTGGCACGTGACCAATCCTTGTTTTACAGCTGCCCCGGGAATGACCTTGTTCTTTCAGGAGCAGTGAGATCCTGAGCTCCGGAGTCCACCTGGCGACCCAGCCATACTGCTTTCAAGAGGCCTGTTGCAGGCATGAAAATCCATTCTCACCACTTCCTGACAATGAAAACTCCACTCTTGGTAGAAAGAGTTTCTTAGGTGCTAACCCCCTGCCATTCAGTGTGCCAGAAGGTAAAGATGTCACATGCAGACTACTGGGATTAATCAAAATGTGCATCCATAAGCAACTGGCTGTATTAGTTACCCCATTTTTAATTATTGAAGCAGCTGTGCTGAATGTGCTGCAGAAGACACCTATGAAATATGGTTGTTTTTAAAACATGCATTGTGAAAGATGTATAATATCCTCTGTGTGTGTGTGTGTGTGTGTGTGTGTGTAATATATGTTGGGGCTAGCATTGTGGCACAGCAGGTGAAGCTGTTGGCTGCGATGCTAGCTTCTCAATATGAATACCAGTTCCTGTCTTGGCTGCTCCACTTCCAATTCAGCTCCCTACTAATGGCCTGGGAAAAACAACAGCAGATGGCTCAGGTACTTGGACCACTGCCACCCACATAGGATACCTGGATGAAGCTCCTGGCTCCTGGCTTCATCCTGGCTTAGCCCTGATCATTGGGGCCACTTAGTGAACCAACTGATGGAAGACCTTTCTGTCTCCCTCAATCTCTAATTTTTTAAATAAATAAATTTTTTTTAAAAAAATATGCTTACATATGAACAGAACATCTCTGGAATGATATTCAAACTCCTGGGAGTGAGATTGGGACATGACTTTTCCATGTATACACCTTCTATTAGCATATTTTTACTCTGAGCATAAATTGTATAATTTTTTAATAAAAAGGAAAAAATGACAAAGCTTATGTATTCTCTCCCCTTAATTGAATAAGAAAATTTCTCAACTATTATCTTTATAAATAGTACTTCCATTCCATAAGCTACTGCAACAACATGAGGTATCTGAATTCAGCAAAGATGTATAATACTCAGGTTCATAGCCTCCATCATGCTTTGCATGAAGTAAACAAGGTGCAAGCAGAAGCTTCAGCACTCATGTATCCATGACAGAGCTTCAAGGATACTGTAAGTTCCACTTATGAATACATAGGCACAAGCCTGTTACAGTACACAAAGTCACAATCTTCAATAAGAAGAGTGTGTGTTCTCAGGGTTATCCCGCAACAGAAATCAGACTCAAGAAACACTTTTCATGGGAGAAAAAGGGTTCAGTAGAAAATGAAAAATGGAGATTTCCAGTAGGCTGCAGTGGTTATGTAACATGGTGGCTAAGAATACTACTTGCATATATTGGTGACACATAAGTAGCTGCTGAAAGGCACATTTCTTCATAACAATTTCTTTAAAAAAAAATGTGCCCGCACATTGGGGCCAGAGTTGTGGTGTAGTGGATAAAGCCATGGCCTGCAATGCCAGCATCCCATTTGGGTACTATTTGGAGTCCTGACTTCACTTGCAATCCAGTTCCTGCTAACGCACCTGGAAAAGCAGTGGAAGATGACCCAGTTGCTTGGGCCCCTGTACCCACATGGGAGACCAGGATGAGGCTCCTGACTTCTGGCTTCAGCTTGGCTGAGCCCCGGTGTTGCAGCCTTTTGGGGGAGTGAAACAGGATGAAAGATTCTCTCTCTGTGTCCCTCTCTCTCCTCACTCTTCAGCTCTGTAACTCTTTCAAGTAAATACATAAAAAATAAAAAGTGCCCCCCCACTTAAAGTATGTGCTCAAAATGCACACATATTAAAACTCCATGTGCTTTCTAAAACTCTGTACCTTCTCTTCCTTTCTAGTTTGAATAGCACACTTCCCAGAGTTCTCAGCACTGCATCTGCAATGTCAAAATGCTAGACAAAGAGGGGAGTGTTTTTTTGCTACCCAGGAGGAATTCACAGTTGGAAATACACAAATAGATCTTTATGTAGATCATGGCACATCTTGAGTTTCTTCACCAGGATTCCTCATAACTGATGGACCTGCCCTGTTAGGAAGTAAGGCAAATCAAACCATTCCTCACCCAGGAAACACGGCACACACTGCACCACTACACGCACTGTACACTGTATGCACTGCATTTGCTACACACACTGCACAGTGCACGCTTCAACACTGCAACACCACACACTGCATGCACTGCACACTACATGCAGTGCACGCTTCAACACTGCAACACTGCACACTACACACAGTGCATGCTTCAACACTGCAACACCACACACTGCATGCACTGCACACTACACACAGTGCACGCTTCAACACTGCAACACCACACACTGCATGCACTACACACACTGCACAGTGCACGCTTCAACACTGCAACACCACACACTGCATACACTACACACACTGCACAGTGCATGCTTCAACACTGCAACACCACACACTGCATGCACTGCACACACTGCACAGTGCACGCTTCAACACTGCAACACCACACACTGCATGCACTACACACACTGCACAGTGCATGCTTCAACACTGCAACACCACACACTGCACATTACATGCAGTGCACACTTCAACACTGCAACACCACACACTGCATTCACCACACACACTGCACAGTGCATGCTTCAACACAGCAACACCACACACTGTATGCACTGCACACACTGCACACTGCAGGCACTGCACACTGCAAGCACTGCATGCATTGCACCCACTGCACACTGCATGCATGACACACTGCATACACTGCACTGCAACACTGCATACTGAACACTTCATGCATTGCATGCACTGCACACTGCATGCACTGCACACTGCATGCAATTATAGCACTGCTTGCTGGTCTGAAATAAACCAATATTTTATTTCAGGTTCAAGTTTTGAAATTGTGAATTTGAAAATCCAGCTATGATAGAAGGTCTACTTGGTGCCCAAGCAAATACCCTGCATACTTTTGTTAAAGATTTGCTCGTTTGAAGGGCAGAGGAACAGAGGGAGAAAAGAACTCTTCCATCTGCTGGATGTAAAACCCAGGGCTGGACGAGGCTGAAGGCAGGAATCTGGAACTCTGGATTTCTCACCTGTGTGTAGTGATCGCAGTGTGCAGTGCATGTACCGGTGCAGTGCACCAATGTTCAGTGTTTGCAGTGCCAGTGAGTCCAGTGCATGTGGCATGTGCAGTGTGCACAGTCTGCAGTATGAAGTGTGCAGTGCCTGCAGTGTGCAGTGCCTGCAATGCATGAAGTGTGCAGTATGCAGTGTTGCAGTGCGTGTAGTGTGCAGTGTTCATTATTGGTACAGATGCTCACTAATCAAAGAGGACGTGAAACTGACTTAGAACAAAAAGTACTGCATTGTGTATTAGGCCAAATTGAGGGAAGACAACAGATTAGCAATTTTTAAAATTTTTCAGTTTGTACATAAATCTTTCAAATGGTAGACAAGTGAAAAATTGGAGGCCGCTCAACAGGGCAAGATTCTATACAGAGAGATGAGGTCTGCTAAACTCCTTCGTGAATAGAATGTCCATGTAGAAAGGAAGTGAATGGCAACAGAAAGGCTTGTGAGGAGGCCTAGAAAAATGAGGGCAGGACTGATTAAGTGGACCTAGAACACAACAATTCTGAGTGCTTAGAGATCCTCAGATAAATAATACCTGAAAGTAGAAAATTAATGCCAAGGCCATTCATGGAGAAGAAATGCTTGAGCAAGATATACTTGGCTTGCTTTGTGGAGCAGAGGTACGATGAGTTTTCAGTTCAGTGTGCAGCAACAAGAGAACCGACTACAATAATGTTCACTAGCCTTTGGACAACACGCCCCAAAGCTAAACACCTGGGTTCACCTCTACTAGGAATGAAACAGTTGTACTTGTTGGTTTTTTTTTTCCTGAACGCTTATTTTATTTTATGGGGAAATCTTTTGTGCTTTAGTGCCCACAAATCACATACATCCATGTGCATTATATACACACACATTGCATACACATTTCCCCTTGAACAATTCAAACCTTTGTAGACAAAAATAATTAGTTTTGATAAAGGCCATTTACATTGATTTTGGCTATTACTCTCCGGGTTTACAAAATGAGTGGGGTAAAGCTGTTGCTCTTCAATGTTAAGTGTCCTAAGATCTGTGGTAATATCTGTAACAGGAACAATAGACAATCAAAGCATTAGCCTACTTTTAGCTTTCAAATCAAATATCAGTAAATTAGGCAGTGATATCTTAAGAAGTTATTTTCTCCCTTATATTTCTAAAGTGCTTTTTAAAAATTACTTTATTGTTTATTCTACACATTTTTTGGAGGTAGGTCAGGGTCATCCTCATGTTGCACAGGAGGAGACCGAGGCATAGTGAGCACAGTGACTTGTTTCAGGTAATGCAGAACATGGACAATGAAATGGAAGTCGGACTAACATTCTTACTTACTGGCTAACAAGTGGCATGTGCATGTACGTGCAAGGAAATCAAGTTACAGAGCACTGCCTGGGCAGCATGTAATGTAGAAAACTTAACTGGATTACTTTGTATGAATAAAGTTCACTTCACTGAGTCTATGGATCAGAAACATAGAACAGGCATCCCATAGTCTCTGATCCAGTCCCCTCCCTAGAGAAGGTCCTGAGAAATCTCGGGAATTAGGCCTGAAACTTGGGTCAGCTAACTCCCAGAATCACCATCCTTTTATGCCACTGGTGGTATTCCATACTGACTTAATAAAAGCTACAAAGGTACTTAGAAGTCATTTAATACAAAAATATATAAGACATTTGAATCATGGAAAACAAAATATTTATAAATCTTATTGATATATTTAGAGTTAAGTGTTAGAGTTAGCTCTAAGGGATCAGCAAAAACAAGTGTATGTAGAGAAAATAAAATTTAATTCAAAGGTGATGGACTATTAACATTTAAGATCTGCATCTATCTCTATAAAATATTGCAGTGTAGCTATATTTGTGCTTAGCAGAAGCCCTGACTTTTAGGTTAAAAATAGAAAATTTTCCTAAATTATGTATTTATAACCACTCTTTCCCTTTCTCTGCCCAAATCAGAGGGCTTTTGATTTAGTGATTGTAGGCATGCAATAGAATATACTGCGTCCCCCTCTTTAAAAACGTTAAGTTCATGGTGGTCATGGCTTCACAAGAATGTGAATTTGCTTCATGCCAAAGAACTATATACTGAATAATGGGGACAGTGACAAAATTTGCTATACACACATATAAACATATATGTTTCACCACGATAAAAATATTGTCTTTAAAAATGGCAACTGAGCCCAAGCTCCTGTTTTTATGCTTAACAAAATAAGTCATTTAATATTTAGCATATAAGTAAATCTTGATAGAGCAAGGACAGCTACATTTACAAGCAAGTGGGAATCGGTTTTATCATTTACTATAATATAAATATAAGGAAGATATTTGTGGGGGTAGGCCCCTGAAAACCCTAGGTAGGCAGCCAGCCTTGATTCACTTTATCAAAGGTCTCAAAAGACAGAAAAATGAATGTTTTTTAGTTTTTCATGACAAATTTCTGCAATGCTGACATCACTTTAAACCATCCATAGCCAATTCATTATTTAAGTGCCCTGCCCCTGGCCTGTTGTAGTTTATATGAACTAGTCATCATATGCGTAAGCGAGTTATTACACAAGACATAAAACACAAACTTGTAGAAGTTGTTGCCAAAGATTTAAAAAAGCATAATATTCATAAACTTCTTAGTCTTTTCCGTTGTTTTGCAAACTTCTATCATATGATGCCTTTTCCTTTCAAAGTCCTCTGCTTATATTTATTCAACGTTTTCTTCATCAGTATTTAAGTATCTTGATTCTCCATGCTTCAAGACAAAAAAATCTTCACGCTTCAGTCCGTATCTTTCCAGAGCTTCGCTCAGTTTCCCTGGCGGGTCTAAGTAATGCTGGAAAGGGGCAGAGAGAAGAAAAAGGAGACATTAGCAATACTCTCATGGAGGGTCATTTCAAATAATGAAGCCTAAAATAACTAAGAGCTCTGTATGTAAAACAATGACCTTTCTTTTAAAGGAAGCATCAGCAGTTGAGTTCATCGTGTTTTCCCATAGTTAGAGACACTGACTGTAGATAGAAATACTGTTGCTGCATGGAAATCAAGCATCCATGCCCTATGTACATCACCTGTGGTGCCGTCCTAGCCTGAACACCTTGCCACTGCGTTACCTCTGGTCACTATCTGACTCCTTGAAACTCCAATCTAGGTGGAATTAACGCCAAAGATGCTATTAAAGAAACTGAATGTTACCAACATTTTTGAAGGATGGAGAAATCTGAGAAGACACGTGTATGTGTGTAAGCAATGCTGGAGCAAATATTTTGGGGTAAAAACTGTAGCCAAAACAGACACCGCAGTGTACAGAATGGAAGAGGACCTGCGAGCAGAGACACGGCAGGTGACGCTTCTCTGTGTCCCTTTACTTTCTCCTTCCACAGCTCAAGTGAAAGACAGCAATGGCAGTTTCCAGAACAGTGTCATCCACCCAATGTCTTCCAGGTAAGTTGAGGCAACTTGAACATGGAGTAAAAGAGTTCTTCATAAAGAAGTTGAAAAATATACATCAGTAGTTGTGGCCGGCGCCATGGCTCAATTGGCTAATCCTCCGCCTTGCGGCGCCGGCACACCGGGTTCTAGTCCCGGTCGGGGCGCCGGATTCTGTCCCGGTTGCCCCTCTTCCAGGCCAGCTCTCTGCTGTGGCCAGGGAGTGCAGTGGAGGATGGCCCAGGTGCTTGGGCCCTGCACCCCATGGGAGACCAGGAGAAGCACCTGGCTCCTGCCATCGGATCAGTGTGGTGCTCCGGCCGCAGCGTGCCGGCCGCGGTGGCCATTGGAGGGTGAACCAAAGGCAAAAGGAAGACCTTTCGCCGGCGCCGTGGCTCAATAGGCTAATCCTCCACCTTGCGGCGCCGGCACACCGGGTTCTAGTCCCGGTCGGGGCGCCAAATTCTGTCCCGGTTGCCCCTCTTCCAGGCCAGCTCTCTGCTATGGCCAGGGAGTGCAGTGGAGGATGGCCCAGGTGCTTGGGCCCTGCACCCCATGGGAGACCAGGAAAAGCACCTGGATCCTGGCTCCTGCCATCGGATCAGCGCGGTGCGCCGGCTGCAGCGGCGGCCATTGGAGGGTGAACCAACAGCAAAGGAAGACCTTTCTCTCTGTCTCTCTCTCTCAGTGTCCACTCTGCCTGTCAAAAATAAAAATAAATAAATAAATAAATAAAAAAGGAAGACCTTTCTCTCTGTCTCTCTCTCACTGTCCACCCTGCCTGTCAAAAATAATAATAATAAATCAGTAGTTGTTTCTCTTTTGGTCTAAATCTTTGCTGTGTTTAGGACTTTTTCCTAGTTCCAATTAGAAAAGCTGTGAAAGGTGGAAGCGAAAGCACCAAGCTGTGTCTGAGCAGCAGTCTGCCCCTCCCCTTTGTGCAGCAAGCACCCTCTGAGCACCCAAACTGTGCCAGGCTAGGGAACCAAATGAAAACCCTTGCCTTCCCAGAGCTCCCATTCTGAAACAGAGATCGACAAGAAAGGAGAAAGCAAACAATAAGGAAGCAGATAAGATCTGAGTGGCTGGTGTGTTCTGGGGAGAGATAAGAGAGAGTGAGGGGTGCAGGAGATGGAGATCCAGTTTTAAATGCAACACTCAGAAGTCTCCAGGGACAGACCACTGATAAAGCAGATGGCACAGGGCTTTGTGGGAGCAGAAGCTTTGCCTCTGGGTACGATGGGAAGTTGTCAAGTGGCTGGCAGAGGGCTGTCATGATCCACTTCTGGTGGTAAGGGTCACTGCTCTCCAGTGTGGAGAGCAGGCTGAAAGGGGCGAATTCTGCATATAATCTGAAGGTTGAGCTGCTGAGGCCAGGGGTGGAGACGGGATCTGGATGGAGGCTATGAGAGAAAGAGAAGCCCAGGCTTTAGCCTGAGTATAAGGAAGGAGGGCTGCCATTTACTGAGATGTGAAAGAAAGAAGTAGGAGGGAAGATTAGGAGGTGTGGTTTCGGACTTCAGTTCTAGTACCTACGTGCCCATGTCATGTTAGTTGGATATGTAAGTGTAGATTATAGTGGGAAAACATCTGAGCTAGGGCAGTGCAGTGGACATGGCTGGATGACAGCTTCATGGGGGGAACCAGGTAGAGGAAAGAGGCACTCAATGTTCAGAGGAGTTAGCCAAGACGGGACCGCCAGTGACGCACAGGGGAAAATAGGGAGAGTTTCCTGGGGCTTCGAATGCGCTGGCTTGGTACAGTTATTTGTCACACACAGGTGTTTTCCCCTGAGCTCACTTCCCGGCTTACAGCTACATTTGGAGGGTCAAGGATGCCTTTCAAGTGACTGCTGCCCAAGTACCTCGGTTACTCAGTATTGCTGAAGGGAACCACTTAGTAACCAATATCTGTTAACAGGAATCTACTTGTATACACATTAAAATATCACTAGTATGTCACTAAATAATTTCCTAAGTCAGTAAGTTTCTCTTGCAAAATGATTTTAGAGACTTCAAATGGATGAAATTCTTTCTCATTGCAAAAACAACTCCTTTTGTTAAATTCTTTCCTCTTCCACTCTTTACACATCTGGGCCAATAATACACACACACAGTCACCCTACACTGATCATGTCTTTCCCAAGCTGTAACTCGTGTGTGGAGAATGACATGCGGATTTAGATGTTGTAGGTTGAAAGTAGACTCTCTGTCTTTCATCTCCTCAGATTCAGCCAGATCTACTGAGTTTCTTCAAAGGTCACTGACTCTGGAAGTGGGCAAGAGAGACTTCCACCTGACTGGTAACTGGTCTGAGCACAAAGAAAAAAATGCCCACAGCTATGCGGCCAAACAACCACATACAAACCAACACAGGAGATCAGAGATCAGCAAGAGGGCAAAGCAGAAGAGTCGCCAACGCTCTGGATCTGTTAAGGGCCAGGCAACCAGGTACCTAAAGGGGGTTTTATGATCCACTAGAATACCATCCAAATAAAAGACAGAGCTGGATCCTCTAAAAAGGTAACTCATGAGGCCAGCATGGTGGCAGAGAGGACTAAACAACTGCCTGTGACACTGGCATCCCAGTTCAAGACTTGGCTCCCTGCTAATGTGCCTGGGAAAGCAGCCGAAAATGTAGCCACGTGGGGCGTGAACCAGCAGATGGAAGATCCAACCATCTCTCTCTCTCAAATAAATAAAAACAAATTAAAATATAAAAAGAGTTAACTTATATATCTTGTAATATTTAAAATCTATTTCTGTCAAAACTATTGATTTAAATTCTGGTGCTTAAATATAACATCTAGGATACCCACTCATCATGCACCAGATAAATCAGATGTTGCTATACAAACAGTAATTCAGGGTTGCCAAGTTATGAACATTCTTATCCTGCCCATATTACAGTGAGCAGTGCTTATAACTGTTTATATGCAAATAGCTTTAAAGAGTCTAGAATGATAAGCTAAGCATCCTCTCTGAAAATTCCATCTACCTTACAATTTAACAAACTCATGCTGTCTGATTTGTTCAAGTATATGTCAAAACAGTGAACGAATTCTAAATTGCTGAAGGCTAAATGAGGTTTTATTACATGTCTCATTTAGAAATAAAGATAACAGGAATGATTAATAACCAGAATAATTCTTGAAGGCCGAATAACAGTAATTTTGAATGACTGAAGTTTTCCCCTTCTCCTCATTCTCCCCATCTCAATAAAAGATGACAACTAGCCAGCCCCGCAGCTCACTAGGCTAATCCTCTGCCTGTGGCGCCGGCACCCTGGGTTCTAGTCCCAGTTGGGGTGCCGGATTCTGTCCTGGTTGCTCCCCTTCCAGGCCAGCTCTCTGCTGTGGCCCAGGAAGGCAGTGGAGGATGGCCCAAGTGCTTGGGCCCTGCACCCCATGGGAGACCAGGAAGAAGCACCTGGCTCCTGGCTCGGATCAGCACAGCATGCCAGCCATAGCAGCCATTTGGGGGGTGAACCAATGGAAGGAAGACCTTTCTCTCTCTCTCTCTCTCTCTCTCTCTCACTGTCCACTCTGTCTGTCAAAAAAAATTTAAAATTAAAAAATAAAATATGACAATTGACTACCCAACTATGCAGGTTAAAAATCTAGAAGTCTCCTTGATCACTTTCTTTATACAGGTTTAATAAAATAGTATTATTTCATCCAACACTGATATATGTATATATTTATATATAAATGGAACATTCTCTCTCCTTCTCTCTCTCTTTCACACACACACACACACACACACACGGAAGAAGGAATCCCCACCCGATACAGTGGTATGCCCCTGGAACAGTCTAAGCTTCCCCTGTCCCAATACACACATTCACATTTATATTCCCATTCATCCTCCATCCCATCCCATGGTTATTCACTCATTCCTTCATTCACTCACTCATTCATGAATTCTACTCCACCCTCCAACAACAGGACTAAGAACAGTGGCAGCACGCTGCCGAGTTGAGTAATGGGAAGTAATTTTGAAACAAGCTGCATCCTACTTGGGAGAGAAGCCAAGCCAGAAATGGGACAGGGGGAACTTCTCAAAATGCAAGAAAATGTAGGTTCCTAGAAAAGCCCTGGAATGTGGAAGATGCCATAGAAAGCAAAGTGGGAAGTCACATTCCAACCATGTCTTTCAAAATTGTGCTTACGGCTGGTCCTGGATCCAGCCCAGGAGGGAAGGCTGTAACCTACCGTATGCAGGATCCCAGAACCCAGGCTAGTAGCAGAGTTCTAGGCGCCAGCTCCCTCAGGGAACAATCAGCTCTTCTGCCTTCACCTAGGACTAGAGCCTCATGAATCCCAATGTCTGGTCCACAGTAGACGCCGGATCAGGGTTTACCGGGTGAATAACACATTTCTAGAAAGCTCCACACTACCCAGCCTTCCTTCTCTATGGCCCTCCTCATCGTCCACCCTCCTGCTGAACTGACTCCTCACCATGCCTCACGCCTGCTGCCTCCGAGCAACTACTCTGCCCTTCTCCCCTGTGGCAGCGCCTTCCTCCAGCCTTCACACGGCCAGGTTCAGGCACCACTCTTCCCGTGAGGCCTGCCCAACCCCTCCTGGAGGAAACAGGCCCTAACTCTGAGACCAACCAGCTGTGCCACACTACAGCACCTCCCCTTCCAACACCCGTCTCACGTGTGCGTCTCCCATCATCCACCAGAACGAAAGCCTCCTTGCAGGGGAAGACAGGATGGCTCCCTGTCCTACCCCCGGGACTACACACACGCTTGGTTATGTAAACTCATGCTTTGTTAACTAGAAAGAAACCAGCCCAGAAAGAGGACCGTTTCTCCCTCTGCAGGTGTGTATGTCGTGTCGAACTGGGGCGACGTGCCAGCCTCACGCATGCAGGGACTGTGATGACTGTGCAGGGTCCGATGCCCCGTGCAGCCTCGGAAAACACAGCTGGGGACAGGGACGCCTGAGCCCTCTCAGGCTCGTGCACGTCCCCCACGCCCTGCTTCTCGCCAGCGGACTCACCTCATTGGCTAAGGCAAAGGTTCCCCAGTGAATGGCCACAGATTTCTTGGTCTGGACGTCCATGTGAATCCTCACCGCCTCTTCAGGGTCCACGTGCTGGTATCTCATAAACCACCTGACGGGACACAGCAGTCATTAATTCTGGCCTACAGAAGCTCTGACGATGGCTTCCTCTCTCCAGCCTTTAAGATTCTGCACAGGATGACGGGGAATGCCAGCCGCTCAGCGTGGTGATTTGGCGCTCCCTTCCTGATTCCTTCGTTGGCTCCTTAATCAGCCACATCTAAGAATGTGGGCTGGGTGGCCAATGCGCAGCAGGGGCGCCTTCCCCACGCTCCAGCTGCTGAACTCAACGTGACTCAGCCAGGGAGCGCTTCAAAAGGACTGCCACCCTGCCTGACTTGCCCCCGGTGAGTCCAGTGCGCAGCCACTGACCTCGGGGACGGAACACAAGCAATGTGGGGTGGGTGGGGGAGTGGCAGGGCGGTGAGTGGGAGGTGGGGGTGTGGCAGGGCTAGGAACCAGGATGGTAGAAGCAGACAAAAAGATGCCACAGGCTCACAATATGTGCAGAGACCATTTTCCTTAAGTCCACTTTTCTACCAAGAAAACACACACACACCTGCACACTCGCACGACAGTCTTTCTTTTACAATAAATAAGCCTCAAGCCAAATTCCCATCTGAACAGTAATATTTTTGTTTTATGTGTATTTTGATTTTAGATTTATCATGAAAATATGCTGATGACTTCACAGCAGATATTTGGTAATCCTGGGTATGAATCAAAGAAACTGAGTAATGGGGAAAGAGCTAGAAACCCAATGCCCAATTGCAAAAGAACCAGAATGTCCTGTGGACATGACATCTTTGGAACTTGCGATGGTGAAAAGCAAACAAAACTTCTCTGGGGCCGGCGCTGTGGTGTAGTAAGTTAAGCCTCCACCTGCAGTGCCAGCATCCCATATGGTCACCAGGTTGAGTCCCAGCTGCTCCACTTCTGATCCAGCTCTCTGCTGTGGCCTAGGAAAGCAGTGGAAGATGGTCCAAGTCCTTGGGCCCCTGCAACCATATGGGACACCAGGAAGAAGCTCCTGGCTGCTGGCTTTGAGTTGTCCCAGCTTCAGCTATTGTGGCCATTTGGGGAGTGAACCAGCGGATGGAAGATCTTTCTCTCTGTCATAATTCTGCCTCTCAAATAAATAAATAAATCGTAAAAAAAAAAACTTATCATATAAAATGTAAAGATCAGAAGGGGAAAAAAATTCCAATTACTATTCATGGGATTTTATTTAAACACCATGAAGCTGACAGTGAGGTGTTTGACTTGGCAAGCACAGAGAGGACTAACAGGATTAGAGACACTTCAGTTATGCAGGAGGGCTGCCCAGGGCCACGGGCTCAGGAGGCAGAAGGCTGGGCCACTCCTGCAGTCCCTGGATTCCCTTTCGAAACTCCTTCAGATTCTCTGAGCTTCTAGTTCCTTGTCTGTGAAATCCAAATTCCCATCTACCTTGTAAGAGTATCATGGGGATTAGACAAGCCAAAGTTAGTGAGAGCTTTGAGCTAGCACCTACCCTGTAGAATTCTCCCAGAAAAGAGCTGACAAAACCAACACTTTAAGGAAAAGAAAAATTTTTATCTGTGACGGGAAGGGAAAAATATGCCGTGCACAAGTAAGCTCTGTGCTTTCCAAGTGACCAGGCTGGGGCAGGAAAATCCACGCAGTCTTCGTGTAATTTACGTCCCAGTCAAGCTGCCCTGCTCCACGTGGCAGTGGATGGGGACCCAGACCAGGGGCTTCCCCACACCAGAGAACACACAGCAGAGTGCACGCCTCTGCAAGGGCCCCACACTGGTTAATTACTGTCAGGAGCTGCTGAGCCCTAGGGCAGCCCAAAACACCAGGTTACAGCAGCACGGTTCTGCCGCATCCCAGGACTGCTCAGAGCTCAGCGCAAGATGAAAAATGGCTTTTTGGTGTTTCTGCTGTTTTTTTTTTTTTTTTCCAAAATCCTACTCCAAATCGAAGGGATAGACATATTCCTCCCTATCCTTATGCCCATCTGAAATGAAATTAAAGTTTTTACTGAGGCATAACAACAAAAACAGGAAATTTAACTGACATGGAGAGACTCCCTGGTGGCAAGAGACACCTTCCCGGCATATTAACTGCAAGTTGCCGATGCTGTAATCGCCTTGGGCCCACAGAGAGCGCTCATGTGTGGTAGAATGGATAACCTGATTTCTACACTGGCTAGGACTCACTGGGGAAGTGGGTGAGCCCACCGCCGAGGAAGTCTCTTGGAGTGAGGGAAGTCCTCCCCACCGTCCTTCTCCTTCGGCATAGAAGGAATTCTGCAGCAACGCAGGCAGGGAGGGGCGGGATGTGAGCTGCGCAGCCTAGTGGCAGGCATCCCATCCCTACAAACCCGTGTGCCAGTACATACTGCTACCATTTGCCTCATTACAAATAAGATGTTCCACTATATTCAGAACAGATAGCAAGACCAATGCCATATGCGACTGATTTGTCACAGTTCTGAAAAATACAGGTGGATTGGTGTTTCCAGAAGTCTCCTCGGAAGAGTTACTGAAGTGGAAAAGTGAAATTCAAGAACTAATATTGACTTACAATAACTGTAATCGTTATCAGGAGCCACAAAAGAAGGGGAGGATACAACATCTGGTTCCCCAAATAAGGAAACTAATAAAAGGGGGGGGGGGCACAAGCACTAATAAAGATAGGAGGGAAATGTGTTCAGTGAAATTTAAAAATTAACAAGTTTAACAAAATCAGCTGGAAACAAAAGATCACATTCATCCGTGAACTAGAGAAATACTCGTTTTTCTGCTTTTACGACTAAAAAGCATTTGTATCTCTCTCTCTCTCTGCGTGTGCTTTAGAACAAAATAAAACATTTTAAAAATTATCCCATACGGTCAGTGTTTTACAATACACAAGCGTTGACTGAGACCTCAGGTCTCTGAAATCACTTGTCTTTACCCCAAAGGGTATCCAGGAAACAGACAGGGGCAGGGGGCCCTTCAGCGGCTCCAAGCCAGGCCCGGGGAGAGCACAGAGTCACCCCACAAAGTCACGCCGGATTCACTTCCGGGACTGACGGAACCAGACCCTCGCAGGGGACTAACGCTGCAGACCGACTTCTAGCTTTTTCTCTCTGCTACACACAGGAGAGCTGCTAAGCCAGGGCACTGGAGCCTTCCAGTCACAGAGCGAAAAGTGTGCAACCCAAAGTAGCAGGAAGACCAGAGCGAGGTGCGATTTCCGGTTTAACTGCAGTTGAACGAGCACCTGAACTTCCGGTGAGGCTCAGCCATTCGTCACACTTCGGTGCTCTTTTTTTTCCTGGTAACGTTTCTACTTGTCAACTAAAAGTTTTTAACTTGAATTTTTAAAATCTTTAAAAACTCCCTGTATCGGAACGCCTAGCCCCCAGCCAGTGTAGCCACTCAACCGCCAATCACACAGCCTCGCAACATCATGAGCGTTCTACTCTCAGGGTCAGTGAGCTCGCACGGCAGGTGCGGTTTCTCCGCAAGCCTACTTACCTTGGCTCGTAAGCCCCGATGGGAATGGCTGCAAGGTCAAAAGGCCCGAACCTTTTTCCGATCTCCTCAAAGGCGCGGCAGTAACCGGTGTCTCCGGCAAAGAAAAAGCGGCTCCAGGGCCCCAGGACAGACCAGCTGCCCCACAGAACCTTGTTTTCGTCCAGCAGGGTCCTCTTGCACCAGTGCTGGGAAGGCGTGAAGACAAAGGTGACGTCGTCGTGGCCGGGGACACAGTTCTCCTCCCACCAGTCCAGCTCGATCACGTTCTCACAGCCGCATTTCTGCATCCAGTCCAGGAGCCCCAGCGGCACAAACCACCTCAGCTCGTTCCCGAACCGCTCGTTGAGGGCCGCCACGGAACCGTAGTCCAGGTGGTCGTAGTGGTTGTGGCTGATGAGGACCGCGTCGATCGGGGGGAGTTCGGCGATGGTGCATGGGGGCCGCCGGAACCGCTTTGGACCCACGTACTGAGACGGGGACGCGCGGGAGCTGAAGATGGGGTCCGTGAGAAAGATGAGGTTGTCCATTTCCACCAGCAGCGTGGCATGGCCCAGCCACGTGACCCTCAAACCAGCTTCCCTCACTCCGGCTGCTTCGGGCTCATCCACAAAATATGGCTTAAGCACTGGGAGCTCTTTGTCAAGTTCCTGTGTGTGTGTATATATATATATAATGTGTATATATATATAATATAAATTATACATATATATGACAAAAAGCAGTCAGGGAAAAGAATAAAAATTATATCAGAACATTGTGACCTACATTACAGCACCCAGGAAGGGCTATTTTGGGAGAGTTGGAGTCATTCAGTAAACAAGTTATTTTTGCCTTTCTCCTGAAAATGCATACGTCCTTCTGAATCTGACTTAACAGTAACACAGCATATTCTGTCTCAAAGGCAATAGGCAAAGGAAAATTAAATAGAAAATGTTGTGTACTGCTAAGTTCATTAATGTTTTTACAGGCTCTCTCCTGTAGTCGCCAGAAGCTCACTGGCCGAGATGCAGCTATTTTGCACTCAGCTGGGGTCTTTGCTGCTGCAAACGGCCTCAGGAGCAGGCCCTGGAAAGAGTCAAGAAAACTGATGATCTTCATTTGCCGCTCTGAGATCTCAGATCGGAATCTTTCTGAGTGCATATAACTCAAAGTGCAGCACCGCAACTGTCTCTGGTACATCAGGCATAAACCATTCTCGTCACTCCTTCCCCTTAACATTTTCTACCACTGCTCACACCCAGTGATGACTGCCTGTAAGAAGTTGACTACGTTGGGGAGAAGCAGATCTAAGCAATAACCACAACAAATTGTGGTGAGTCTTATTCCTCTAGTTATTCTACTTTGTTGTTGTTGTTAAGATTTATTTATTCATTCATGTGAAAGGCACAATGACAGAGACAGAAGGAGAAAGAGAGACAGCTTCCATCTGCTGGTTCACTCTGCAAATGGCCACAAGGGCTGAGGCTGGTCACAGAATTCCATCCAGATATCCCACGTAGGTGGCAGGGCCCAGCGACTTGGGCCATCCTCTGCTGCCTTCCCAGGTGCATTAGCAGGAAGATGGACAGCAAGAACAGCAGCCGGGACTCTTAACTGGTGCTCCCACATGGGATGCCCATGTCACGAGTAGGAGCTTCATCTGCTGTGCTACACTACCAGCGTGGCTATTCAATGTTTTGTTTTACATTACCTGAGATCAATAAAAAAATAAGTTTTGGGGTCACAGGCTCCTATAAAGCTGCTTTTACTGAACTGGGCCCGGTGTCCACGCTGCACAGTAACACCAAGGCCTCTTAAGGGGACCGGTGCTATGCTACAACAGGTTAAGCCTCCGTCTGCAACACCAGCATTCCATGTGGGTGCCAGTTCATGTCCTAACTGCTCCACCTCTGATCCAGCTCCCTGCTAATGCACCTTGGAAAGTAATGGAAGATAGCCAAGTGCCACAGTCCCTGCCACCTACATGGAAGACCCAGATAAACCTCCTGGCTTCAGCCACTGTGGCTATCTGGGGAGTGAACCAGTGGATGGAAGATCTCTGTCTGTCTCTCTGACTGTGCCTTTCAAATAAGTAAGTCTTAAAACACAACCAAAGCCGGCGCCGCGGCTCACTAGGCTAATCCAGGCGCATTAGTAGAGAGAGCTGGATCATAAGTGGAGCAGTTGGGACTCGAACCAGCAACCACATGGGATACCTGCATCACACGTGGCAGCTTTACCTGCTACATCACAATGCCAGGCCTTGGGAAGCATCTTCTTACACAAGTGCACACACAAAGACTGACCCGATTTATGGTCAGATGAAAGGACTCTGGAGTCCACATGTTGACCTGCAGGCAATCACAACCTTTGCCATATTACAGAGATGAGGATCTGAACAAAGGAGACACAGAGGGGGAGACATTGGTGAAGGAAAACTGAGAGATCACTTGGAGAAGCTAAACAGAAAGAAGACCATGGAGGGGAAGAGCAACAGAGGTAGAGGATAACCAAGCCTTAATTTGTTTATCTGGAAAATGGGTATAGTAATTATACCTACACTCCATTACTGTGAAGACTGGCTTAGGAGTGGTAGTCTCCAAGCATTCAAAAAGACTGGGGTCTGCATTTTAGTGCATGAGTTAAGCCATTAGCTGCACTGTGGGCATCCCACATGAGCACCAATTCAAGTCCCATCTGCTCCACTTCCGATCCAGCTCCCTGATAATGCACCTGGGAGGGCAGTGGAGGATGGCCCAAGTGTGTGGACCCCTGTACCCACATGGGAGATCCAGATGGAGTTCCCGGCTCCTGACTTTGGCCTGAACCAGCCCTGCCAGTTGTAGCCATTTGGGGAGAGAATGGAAAATGAAAATCCCGAGATAAACTTCTCTCTCTCTCTCTCTGCCTTTCAAACATACATACATACATACATACACCTTGAAAAAGAAAAGAAAAAACAGCCACCTCCAATCCTGACAACCAACCCCACAGCGATCCTTTTGGATCTCTTGCATATCTGCAGTCACAAGCATGTTCCCTTGAACTCAAGCCATACTCAGGAGCCGTGTCCAACACAACCTACACAAGGGATAAACTCTCCCCTGCTGACATGTCCACCCTCACTCTCACCAGGAGGTGTCCTTAGCTCGCCAGCAAGCTGGCCCGGGAACTCCCCAGTCCTCCTCCCAGCTGTGTCTCCCATTATTTCTCTCCATGGACTCTGGTTGCCACCTACGGGGAGATGACTTCCCATTCCTGTACTGAACTAATCTCATTCCTCAAGTTAAATTCTCTTCCTCCTTCATCCCTTTGCGACCATAAGCAAACAGCGCACTCTCCACGGGGCCATCCCTGATTCTCTACAGCTGGAAGCACTCACCGCCATGCCTCTCTGTCCACACGTCTCCTCTGGATATTCTGATCAGATACCTGGGAATTTACCACAGGTCTTATGCACTCATTCAGAGTGCCTGGTTCCATGACTGAAACACAGCATGTGCTCAATAAAATTTGTTGGATGAATGAATGAAAGAATGTAAATTTTTTTCAATAAGTTCTCAGATTTACTAGTTAGCATTAGTGAACAAGCACAAATGCCGAATGGTGTGCATATCAAGGCTTGAGGGTGGAGAAGAGGAGGCAGTAAGGATAAACTGAGCACCCCCATGTGACGGGCATCATACTAGGCTCATAATGATGAGGATGATGTATCATTCACACTGGTGAATGATAACACAAAACAAAAGAACGTGAACCACAGCTGCCACTGGTGGAAAAGCAAAACTTCAATAGAGCAACTCTGGAAGCTTCCGTTTTTTCTCCAAAGTATGAGCAGGTAAAGTACTGTAAGAAGATAGTCCCAAAGGACCACATACGATGTGAGTCCATTTATACAAAATACACAGAATAGACCAGTTTGTCGTTTCCAAGGCTTACAGGGTAAGGAAACCGGTCAGTGATGACTAGGGGGCAATGAGTTTCTTCTAGGGATAATACAAATGTACTAGATCGGGGCTGGCACTGTGGTATAATGAGTAGAGCCTCTGCCTGCAATGCCAGCATCTCATACGGGCACCAGTTCGGGTCACATCTACTTCACTTCCGATCCAGCTCCCTGCTAATGTGCCTGGAAAAGCAGTAGAAGATGACCTAAGTACTTGAGCTCCTGCACTCACGTGGGAGACCAAGAAGAAGCTCCTGGCTCCTGGTTTCAGACTGATCTAGTTCCTCTGGCCATTGCAGCTATTTGGGGAGTGAACCAGCAGATGGAAGATATCTCTCTCTCTCTCTCTCTCTCTCTCCCCTTATCTCTCTCTGTAACTCTTTCAAATAAATGTTTTTTGAAAAAAAAGTATTAGATTTTGTTGTCTACTCTGTGAATATGCAAATAACCACTGAACTATAGACCTTGCACAGTCTGTTGTATACTATGATGAACTATATATCAATAAAGCTAATTTTAGAAAGGCAAGATAGTAAACAATCTAAGGAATCCACTTTATTTTCCTTCCTTTGTACTGTACTGTTCCACATCCATTATAAAAGAATAACATATTTTAAAGAATTTGATCTGTAGGAGCTGGCATTGTGGCACATCAGGTTAAGCTGCCACCTGCAACATTGGCATCCCATATGGGCATCAGTTCATATTCCGTGTGCTCCATTTCCAATCCAGATCCATGCTAATGGTCTGAGAAAAGCAGTGGAAGATAGCCCAAGTGCTTGGGTCCCTGCCACCTATGTGGGAGACCAGGATGAAGCTCCTGGCTCCTGACTTTGGCCAGGTTCAGCCCTGGTCATTACATCCATCTGGGGAGTGACAGTGGATGGAAGCTATCTCTCTCTGTCTCTCCCTCTTTATAACTCCACCGAATAAATAAATATTTTTAAAAGAATTTGATCTCTAGCACAGCTATCCCATAAAACACAAAGAAACAGAATTTATAATTCAGATTTTAAAAAGAAAAAATCTTTTTTAAACTTTCTATCGTAATCACCAGAGTTTGAAAAACGTACATAGAAAAGAAGAGTGGGGGAGGGGAGGAATTCCTATTTATTTGGGGAAATTAAACACTCACTTGGCATTTTCTTGGTTAGATCAAAGCTGATCTTCCTTTTTGAAAGTTGCAAAAGGGGCAATCCCAAGGGCTACAATTAACCAGTCCACTACTTCATGTATTGCTTTTCTTGGAGAAAGGACACATCCTAGGGTTCATCCAGCCACTACGCTTTGCCAGATGCCCTAAGCACATTGTGTTATCTAACTCCATGAGGTCATTTCACAGATAACCAGGACAAAGCAAAGAGGGTCACTAAGAAACTTGCCAAGTTCATAGGACAGGTAAGTGTCCAAACAGGAGTGGAAGCCACAACTCTCTTACTCGAAAGATCTGTCCGTTCACTAAACCATGACCCTTTCTGTGACATAAATATTAGCTTACATTAGAAGTAAACAAAGAACCCCATATTCTTGTTAACATACTTTAAGAATACATGTTTGAGGGGCCGGAGCCTTGGCTCACTTGGTTAATCCTCCTCCTGCAGCGCCGACATCCCATATGGGCACCGGGTTCTAGTCCCGGTTGCTCCTCTTCCAGTCCAGCTCTCTGCTGTGGCCCGGGAAGGCAGTGGAGGACAGCCCAAGTGCTTGGGCCCTGCACCCGCATGGGAGACCAGGAGGAGGTGCCTGGCTCCTGGCTTGGAATCGGCGCAGCACGCCAGCCATGACTGCCATTTTGGGGGTGAACCAATGGAAGGAAGACCTTTTCTCTCTCTCTCTCACTGTCTAACTCTGCTTGTCAAATTTAAAAAAAAGAAGACGACGATGACCTTTCTTTCTGTCTGTAATTCTACCTCTCACATAAATAAATAAAATCTTTTAAAAAAATACATGTTTGTAAGCATGAATGATGAAACAAGAAAATGATCTCATCAGAATATTTTTAAATCATGTTTCTTTAAAAAAAAATCACTTTGATGGGGCGGGACTGTGGAGCAGCTGGTTAAAGCCCTGGCCTGCAGCACCAACAAACCACCTGGGCGCCGGTTCAAGTCCCAACTGTTCCACTTCTGACCTAGCTCCCTGCTAAGGTGCCTGGGAAAGTAGCAGAATATGGGCCAAGTGCTTGGGTGCCTGAACCCACATGGGAGACCCAGAAGAAGTTCCTGACTCCTGGCTTCCGACTGGCTCAGTTCAGGCTGTTGCAGCCATTTGGGGAGTGAACCAGCGGATGGAAGACCTCTCTCTCCATCTGTCTCTACCTTTCCTCTCTGTAACTCTTTCAAGTAAATAAAATAAATCCTTTTAAAAAATCACTTTGAAAGAAGACCTCTAAGTAAGTTATTTCCAGCTGAAGGCCTCTCAAAATCCCAGGTGTCAGAGGCTTGGTTCTCAGAGTCTTCAGTGGATGGATTGGGGACGTGAGCTAATCCAGTTATGGTGTCTGGAAGTGGGGCCTTGCAAACTGATCTGGCTTTACGAGAGGCACCACAGACGTAGGGCAAGTGTGTGGCTTTATTCTCTGCTCCCTGGTCTGCCGCATGCTCCTTCCTCTGCATGCGTCTGCCATCCACCACCCTCATCAAACGCCAGACTGATGACACTGCCCGACCGTGGACTGTAAGCCTCCAAAACCGTGCGCAAAGCCCTCTCCTTCCTAAGTTCGCTTCTCTCGGGCATTTTAGTTATGGGGACAAAACACAAACGCACCTTCCTCTCCTCTTCACAACTTCACTCCATGTTCCTCTTTAGAGGGGCTTCTCCAGGAAACCCAAATCATAACTGAAAAAACCTTTCTCATTTCTTTGTCCCAAGCTCAAAGTTCAAAACATACAAGGTTTCATCTATGAACGTCCTGCCTTATTCTAAAAAGGTGTTTTTTTGTTTTTTGTTTTTTGTTTTTTTTTTTTTGACAGGCAGAGTGGACAGTGAGAGAGAGACAGAGAGAAAGGTCTTCCTTTGCCGTTGGTTCACCCTCCAATGGCCGCCGCGGCCAGCGCGCTGCGGCCGGCGCACCGCGCTGATCCGATGGCAGGAGCCAGGAGCCAGGTGCTTTTCCTGGTCTCCCATGGGGTGCAGGGCCCAAGCACCTGGGCCATCCTCCGCTGCACGCCCTGGCCACAGCAGAGGGCTGGCCTGGAAGAGGGGCAACCGGGACAGAATCCGGCGCCTCGACCGGGACTAGAACCCGGTGTGCCGGCGCCGCTAGGCGGAGGATTAGCCTAGTGAGCCGCGGCGCCGGCCCTCTAAAAAGGTGTTTAAAAATATCATTCACAGTCATCAACTCTGGTAACTAAAATGAACACTACGAACACTTCTAGCATCAAAATGATACCAGGTTTTCAAAGAAAAATGGACAGAAGATCTAACATTCACACCTGCAGGAACACCCATTTCCACTCCCTCCTGCTCTTGGCACTGCGGACCAAACCCTCAGGATGTCTCCCCTTTCTCATACCACCTCCCGCTCAACTCACAAAATCAGGTCTCCTGTCTCTCTGGAGCTGGTAGGGAAGACAGGCTAGCGATGAGAGGGGGAGGGGCAGGAGGCCGGAGGGCATTCAAGGAATTGTGAAAGAAGATGCTACTGCAAGTGCGACCCAGCCACCCTCCCGCCTCTGCCACAACACAGAGCCATTCATCTCATCACCTTTACAGTACAACGTCGTTCATCTCAACATCTGTATGCCAGGTGTTAGTAGGTCTGACCCTAAGTAAACATATCCTAGGTAAAGGTCAGCGACCTACAGCTCATCCTCAAAGGTCGGGGACGCTCCCGTGTAGATGTCATTCACAGCTCTGGCGGCCTCATTCAAGGACTGGAAGCCAAGCACTCCAGGCCAGGCCTTTACCTTGTAACTCACGCTCCAAACCCCTATCTCTTTCTGGAACTTGTTGCAAACTTTCTCAGCTTCGCGGCCTTGGTCATGCCATCATTTATCTGGCACATCACTGTCAAAATACTTCTTTGCTCTCTAGGCCTAGCTCAAAGATCCCCTCCTATGGGAAACCACTTCCAACCCTACTGGTGAGAACGAGTCACCCTCTTTCCTGTACCTCCAAAGTATCTGTGCCTACCTCTGGCTGCAGCCACGTCAGAGCTGGTTTCCATCTTAACTATGAACCTGAGGGCGCGGGTTACCCCTCTTCACTCAGTCTCCCAGAACCCAGTTCTATGCCTATAAAAGAACTCAATGAACTAACGTGTCAAAATACAATCCTCAGTAAAAGCAGGTGCTCTATGCATTAGGCATTTCGAAGAGCCAAGCACTACCTCTTTAGAGCACGGAACACTGCTGTGATCCTTCTCCATTATTAGCCACCTGAGGATATTCGGAACGGAGAGGTTTCTCCACGTTGGCCAAGGATTAACGAATCTCCCATCTCTTCCTCTCACTGACTTAGTTACGTCTTCCTCTAATCTGTAATCCAGCTTGAAGCTCTTCCTGGAAAACCTAGAAGAATCACTTCCTCCAGAATTCCGAGCTGCATTTTGGCGTTTTCTTACGGCTTCCTTAGGATATTGGCTGCTTGGCACCAGGGATTGGTTGCTTTCACTTTCTTCCATGTCCTTTGGTGAACTTTAAAAAAAAAAAAAAAAAGAGGGGAGAAGGAATTACTGAGTTTAACATACAAGCATTAAAACATACTCATCTAGTATTATTGCTTGGCCAATAAGTTTCCCCAAACTAAAAAAAAAATTATGTCTCTATTAGCTCAATCTTTCTTCCTGGAAAATTTCAGAATCCTGTATTACTGCTTGCTACACAGAAAAAAAAAAATGCTTGCTTTGCCTGTTAGCACAACAGCCAAACCTTTTTTAGCGACTTCCTCCTCTGCCATAATCCATAAAATGCATTTCCCTAGCCAGCAGGTAACCACAAAATTTTAAATTTCAGTGACATTATATAGAATAAATTAAATCACTTTCATGAATTATGATGTTTTCATACCTACACGTTGAAAATATAATTGTTAACACACAGTAAGGCTTGCTTCAGTTCCCTGAGGACATCTGGGTTCATTCAACAGACTTACATATAATCCCTTCAAGGCCCACATTGAAACTAAACTGTTGGGGCCGGCACTGTGGCGCAGTAGGTTAATCCTCCGCCTGCAGTGCCAGCATCCCATATGGGCTCCAGTTCGAGTCCCGGCTGCTCCTCTTCCAGTCCAGCTCTCTGCTGTGGCCTGGGGAAGCAGTAGAAGATGGCCCAAGTCCTTGGGCCCCTGCACCCACATGGGAGACCAGGAAAAAGCACCTGGCTCCTGGCTTCAGATCGGCATAGCTCCAGCCATTGTGGCCACTGGGGAGTGAACCAACAGACAGAAGACTTTTCTCTCTGTCTCTCTAGATGCCTCTGCTGCCACCACTACTGCTCAACCCACAGCTCTGCGATCCTTGCGTCTGAACAAAACAGGCCTCCAGACACGAAAAGGGTCAGGTATTCAGAGCATGCACTCATCTGCCGTGAACTCCAAACGTTTGCTTTCTTTCTCACTGGCTTAAATATAAGGCATACACACAACGCACTTTACAACCCTAAGGGAAAAAGCACAACAACAGAGAGCCAAATAGTATTTGTCTGGCTATAAGGGTGTTTAAATAGAAACACCGATTCAGGAGAGGAAGGGAAAGAAGATAAACTCCGGGCCGAACCAGAACTTTCCCCGCCAAGACTGGAGAACCATGGCTGTGAAGAGAGGAAGCCACAGCACGCAATGTTGCTCAGCCAGCCCTGCTTCTGGGCGGGTGGAGTCTAACAAGCTCTCAAGCTTGGGTAAACCTCAGCCTTTCTAATCCTCCCTTTTCTCACCTGTAAAACACGTACCTAAAGGCTTCTCAAAGGATTACATGATACAATGTACATAAAGTACTTGGCACTCTCAAATCGTAATTCCTTTTCTCCTTAATGTTCACTGGCCAAATATCCAAATCCTTTAAGTTCCGTCAGAACTTAAAACTGATCTAGGTGTGTCATCGCTGTTCTCAGAGAAAACACTTTTTCTGGGTCATGATCAAGTTCAGGCCAAGACCTTTACAAAAGTCATCCAGCTCAGCCCCACACACAAGTTCAGAGAGTTTAAGTTACTTTCCCAAAGGGCAGAATCTACGGAGACAGGTGGCAGAGCTAAGCTTCTGCTACACCCCTGCCATGAGAAGCAGCTTATGAGGTGCACGTGCGTTTCTTATATTATTTTCTTTAATTTATTTGAAAGAGTTACAGAGAGAGGTAGAGACAGAAAGAGAGGTCTTCCATCCGATGGTTCACTCCCCAGATGGCCGCAATGGCCAGAGCTGCACCAATCCAAAGCCAGGAACCAGGAGCCTCTTCCAGATCTCCCACGTGGGTGCAGGGGCCCAAGGACTTGGGCCATCTTCCACTGCTATCCCAGGCCATAGCAGAGAGCTGGATTGGAAGAGGAGCAGCCGGGACTAGAACAGGCGCCCACATGGGATGCCAGCACTGTAGGTCAGGGCTTTAACCCGCTGCACTACTGCACCGGCCCCCGTACGTTTCTACTTACATACTTGTATATGGTAGGTTTTGGATATGGCTTCAATGGGTCCCCAACCCCAGTCCCAGAAATGTTCCCTATGTTGCAAGGTCAGTCCTCAGTGTCCTGATGTTGGGAGGGGATCTGTTGAGAGCCACTGAGGTCAATGGAGGGCCTTGGAAGGGACTGTGAAACCCAACTCTTGCTCTGGCTTCCTGTTTCAAGCTGTGTTCTCTCTCACACATTCTCCTGCAATCTATATCATGAGGCAACACGGCTAAGGGGACCCCCGCCAGAGCTTGTGCCATGATGTCTGGACTTATGGCATCCAAAATTAGGAGCCAAATACACCTCTCTCTTCTTTATAAAGTTAGCCTGTTTCAAGTATTTTGTCATAGCAATGAAAACATGGATTAATATATGTGTAGATACACATATATTCATATACAAAGGGTCTTCATAAAGGTCATGAGAAGTGCATGCCACCTTTTAATTCCATTTTTCCATGAACTTTTTGAAGTGGCCCTCAAAAAGTTCATGAAAAACTGGAATTAAAATACAAGGAGGGCATTTGCTGCAGTGGTTAAGATGTCACTTGGGCTGGCGCCGCGGCTCGATAGGCTAATCCTCTGCCTAAGGCACCGGCACTGTGGGGAGCAACCGGACTAGACTGAGTTACTGGAATTAAGACTTATTCTATGCATCTGCTCTCCCACAATATGGCGCTGGGAGAGAAGTAAACAGCTTCCGCACAGCTGCCTCCAGTTCAACTAATAAACTGTAGGACTTGCTATTGATTGGAGGAGAGCAGCGTACTCGGCGTGTGGGCAGCCGAGTTAGGATTGGCGGAGGAGGACTATAAAGGAGGAGAGAGACGGCATGCACCAGGAACATCTATGAGGAACATCTAAGGGAACACCTGTGCAGCCCCCGAGAGAACCGGCCGGCGGTGTGCCGCTCCCCTGCGGAAGTGGGGAATGTGGCCAGGGGGAACTGCCCTTCCACGGAGGTGGAAGGGATAGTAGCCAACCCGGGAAGAACCAGCAGCAAACCCGGGGAGGGCCGAGCAGACGAGAGAACAGCGCAGGGTCCTGTGTCGTTCCTCCACGAAGAGGGGGAGCGACATAATGGTGCCGTGACTCGGATAGGAAACCTAGCTCGGATAGGAAACCTAGGACGGATATGAAACTTAGGAGGGAAGAAACGGGAAGAACTGGGAAATTACCAGAGAGAGAGACTAGCAAACAGCCTAGGGAAAAGCCGGACGAAAAAGGTGCCGGAAGAAGCTATTGAAAAGCCTAGGCATAGACTCAGATACGGACTACGGGGGGAAGCTGGGAGAAATCTCTAAGGTCGAAAGTGAAAGCTAGAACAAACAGACTCGGACGCGGACTGTGGGGAGAGGCCAGGAGAAATGAGGGAGGAGTATTGTTGGAGGAAAGCTTGGGGAAACATACCGGGTAGAGAAAAGTGTTAGGGAAATTGAAGCCGTGGGGGGCAGGCCGAGGCGGATACGAAAGCCACTTTGGGATTCTCAAGTTAGCCCGGGAATGGGGGGCGAAAAGTTGAAACCAGAAGCTGAAACGTAAGCCAGATTGGGATCCGTCTGATTAGCCCGGGGAGCAAAGGACGGGAAGCCAGATCGTGGGGCGGAGACGTATGCTGGGTTGAATTCGCCAGGCTAGCCCGGGGAACTTAGATTGAATGCTAGTGGTGGACACGTAAGCTACGCTGTGTGACTCGTGGAGGCTGCCGCGCACAGACAGAGCGTGCGGGGCACAAGTAGATAGGGAACGGGGCTGGCGCGAGGCCGTGGTGCAGACGCGAAGGGCGTGGAGACCGCGGAGCGCGCGAAGCCAAGCCGTGCAAAGCCGAGGCGCGGGCTGAAGCGGCTCAGAGCCGGCGGGGCGAGGTGCCGGGAAGCTGCGGGGATAAGAGAAACAGCTGAAGCGGCGCAGAGCCGGGAACCCGCCGGCGGGGCGAGGTGCCGGGAAGCTGCGGGGATAAGAGAAACAGAAGTTTAGAAGTAAAGTGAGAGAAATAGGAATGTTGGCAGACAGAAGTAAAATGGGAGAAATAGGAATGCCCGGAGATAGAGAAATAGAGAAATAGAAAGGCCTCCCTACAACACTGCAATGTGAGAGCTTGGATTCGGTCTGCCTGATTAAGTGAGGCGATGAGCACGATGAGCACCTGCGGCGGCTAGCAGCTTATGCGCCGCAGGTCACCGAAGACAGGCACGAATTAACATCAGTAAGGCCTCCCCACAAAAAGGCAATGAGAAGGCTTGGATTCGGTTTGCCTGATAGGGCTTGCAAGCCCCTGCAGGCAGAGCAGAGCATGCGCTGCAGGGCACCGAACACAGGCACGCATCAGCGCCTAAAAACCTCCTCACAACATGGCGAAGAGAGGACCCGGATTCGGTTTGCCTGATTGATAGGACTTGTAAGAGCCTGTGGCAACTCTAGCAAGTAGAGCAGAGTGTGTGCCGCGGGACACCGAAGACAGGCGCGTATCAACGCCAAAAAATAAAAAGAAAGGGGGATCTGTGGGGAGCAACCGGACTAGACTGAGTTACTGGAATTAAGACTTATTCTATGCATCTGCTCTCCCACAATATGGCGCTGGGAGAGAAGTAAACAGCTTCCGCACAGCTGCCTCCAGTTCAACTAATAAACTGTAGGACTTGCTATTGATTGGAGGAGAGCAGCGTACTCGGCATGTGGGCAGCCGAGTTAGGATTGGCGGAGGAGGACTATAAAGGAGGAGAGAGACGGCATGCACCAGGAACATCTATGAGGAACATCTAAGGGAACACCTGTGCAGCCCCCGAGAGAACCGGCCGGCGGTGTGCCGCTCCCCTGCGGAAGTGGGGAATGTGGCCAGGGGGAACTGCCCTTCCACGGAGGTGGAAGGGATAGTAGCCAACCCGGGAAGAACCAGCAGCAAACCCGGGGAGGGCCGAGCAGACGAGAGAACAGCGCAGGGTCCTGTGTCGTTCCTCCACGAAGAGGGGGAGCGACACGGCACCCCGAGTTCTAGTCCCAGTCAGGGCGCTGGATTCTGTCCCGGTTGCTCCTCTTCCAGTCCAGCTCTCTGCTGTGGCCTGGGAGGCAGTGGAGGATGGCCCAAGTGCTTGGCCCCTGCACCCACATGGGAGACCAGGAGGAAGCACCTGGCTCCTGGCTTCGGATCAGCGCAGTGCCCCAGCTGCAGCAGCCACTGGGGGGTGAACCAATGGAGAAGGAAGACCTTTCTCGCTGTCTCCCTCTCTCTCACTGTCCACTCTGCCTGCAAAAAAAAAGTCACTGGGAGCCCCACAGCCCACACCGGAGTGCCTGGGTTTGGATCCCAGCTTCACTTCCGATTTCAGTTTCTTGTTAACGGGCTCTCTGGGAAGCAGCAGGTGATGGATTCCGTGCTTGAGTCCCTGCCACACTGAATTCCGAGCGCCTGGCTTTGGCTTGGCCCAGTCTCGGCTGTCATAGGCATCTGGGGAGTGAACCCACAGATGGAAGAGCTCTGTCTGTCTCTGTTGTTCAAATTAATAAAAAAGTAAATAAATAAAATACACAGCCATAATTATAAAAATAAAAAAGCTTATTTTGGTGCAAAAAAACCTGAAAACCCATGCAGTTTTATCATAATTCACAATTTTTCCATGAACTTTTTGAAGTCTTCTCATATAAAATAATTCTACCAAATAGACTAATAAAATGTGGTCTGCTTCAAACAATCAGGAAAAATGGGAGACAGGAAGCCGGCGCCGTGGCTCAATAGGCTAATCCTCCACCTTGCGGCGCCGGCACACCGGGTTCTAGTCCCGGTTGGGGCGCCGGATTCTGTCCCGGTTGCCCCTCTTCCAGGCCAGCTCTCTGCTATGGCCAGGGAGTGCAGTGGAGGATGGCCCAGGTGCTTGGGCCCTGCACCCCATGGGAGACCAGGAAAAGCACCTGGCTCCTGGCTCCTGCCAGGATCAGCGCGGTGCGCCGGCTGCAGCGGCGGCCATTGGAGGGTGAACCAACGGCAAAGGAAGACCTTTCTCTCTCTGTCTCTCTCTCTCACTGTCCACTTTGCCTGTCAAAAAAAAAAAAAAATGGGAGACAGGAAAAAAGTACTTTCACTCAAACAGCACAAAAACAAAATAAAACTAGAGTTTTGGAACAATATAGCCTAATATAGCTGGGATACAAGACACAGGGCAGGCTTGTGAAAGTCACAGGACAAAGAATTGAACTGTCAAGGACAGGACTACATGGTGAACCCAGACTTCCACCTTAAGGAGTTCGACTGTAGCCAGGGCTATTTAGGGAAGACAATTCTGGTAGCAGGACAAAAAATGAAAGAGAATGACTAAAACTGGAGCTGGGGGAGGGGGGAGGGGTTAGTGAGCAGGAAACAGAAAACGCCAAGGACATCCACTAATTGCAAAGCCAACGTTTCTCACGTTTCATTGAAAAGAATGCTCCCAGCACACCTTCAACCAGGTTTTCACTGAAGCACTCAGAGGCAGCTAAGAGCTCAAATGATGAGGAGGCAGCAACAGTGAGAAGACAAAGAACAGAATAAACCCAAAGCACCGAAAAGAAGCTCAATCAAGAGGACTTGGCAGCATCTGGATGGTCCAGATTTTGGACACTTTGTAGGGCTGGTTGTGTGGCAGGAGGGCAGGCAGCAAAGCAGGAGGAATCAGAAACGGCAGCACCAAGGACCAAGGTGGATTTCTGACACAGGAACTGGAGGGCTGGGCTTGCAAGCACGGGGAGGCAAGAATCCAAGAGGAAGACTCACTGACAGCCAATGGAAATGGATGATCCCAGGATCCGGGTCACTTTAGGGGTGATAAACAATGAGAGAGACAGAAAGGTCTCCAGGAACCGGGAGAGTAAGACGACATTAGAGACTGGGCTTAGTGATCTGCTTTCTCCCAGGACAATGAGCTTTTTCAAAGTTGTATGTTCACATCACCTCCATTTTATCACCTCCCATCCGCTCAGGCTCACACCCCAATCAACCCGTAGAAACAGGTCTCCCTACCAAACAGCCATCTTCTCTCAACACCCACCCCCATGTGCATGCCTACACACACACACACACACATAAATTCCATCTTGGGAGTGATCTCTTTAAAACTAATTAATTAATAGAGAGGCAGAGAAACAGCTCCCCTTCACTGATTCACTCCTGCAACACCGGGGGTTGGGCCAGGGCTGGGTCAGGTCAAAGCCAGGAGCTGGGAATGCAATCCAGGTTTCCCAGGTGGGTGGCAGTACCCAGTGGAGCCACCACTGCCTTCCAGGGTCTGCACTAGCAGGAAGCTGAGGTCAGGGGCCAGAGCCAGGGACTGAACCCAGGTACTCTGATATGGGGACACGGGTGTCTTAACCACTAAGCCAAACTCCCAATCATTGGATGCCATCTTTTAAAAGGCACATAAAAGAAAGAAAGAAAGAAAGAAAGAAAGAAAGAAAGAAAGAAAGAAAGAAAGAAAGAAAGAAAGAAACTGCTCCGAGAATGAGGCTGAGGTTGGTAAGATGGCTCCAGCCCTGCCATCTCCTCTACTCCAAATACAAGGCCTTTGTCTATTTCCTTGGATGCATCATGTGCCAACCACAGGGCCATTCTCTGTTCCCACAGGGCCTTTGCCTGTGATCTTTAGCTATCTGTGGGGTGGGAAGAAGAGTCTTCTGGGCATGGATATTCACAGGATCATGTATGACTTGAAAGACGTATATGGAAGTCAGTCTGGAGATTCCTCAGAAACCTGACTATAACCCTACCGTACGACCCAGCCATCCCACTCCTTGGAATTTACCCAAAGGAATTTAAATTGGCAAACAAAAAAGTGGTCTGCACCCTAATGTTTATTGCAGCACAATTCACAATAGCCAAGACCTGGAACCAACCTAAATGCCCATCAACGGTAGACTGGATAAAGAAATTATGGGATATGTACTCTTTAGAATATTATACTGCAGTAAGAAACAATGAAATCCAGTCATTTGCAACAAAATGGAGGAATCTGGAACACATCATGCTGAGTGAAATAAGCCAGTCCCAAAGGGACAAATATCATATGTTCTCCCTGATCAGTGACAACTGACTGAACACCAAAAAGGAAACCTGTTGAAGTGAAATGGACACTATGAGAAATGGTGACTTGATCAGCATAGCCCTGACTGTTAATGAACAACTTAATACATTATCCCTCTTAGTAGTTTTTTTGTCTGTTCTACTTAATATGACTGGTTTAATTCTGTAATTAATACACAGTTATTCTTAAGTGTTGAAATTTAACTGAAATATGATCCCTGTTAAACATAAGAGTGGGAATAAGAGATGTACAATTTGGGACATGCTCAAGCTGACTTGCCCCAAATGGTAGAGTTAGAAACATACCAGGGGATTCTAATTCAATCCCATCAAGGTGGCATGTACCAATGCCATCTCACTAGTCCAAGAGATCAATTTCAGTTCACAATTGATCATAATGAAAGGACTAAGAGTCAAAGGGATCACATAAACAAGTCTAGTACCTGCTAATACTAACCGATAGAATAAATAAAGGGGAGAGTGATCCAACATGGGAAGTGAGATACATCGCAGACTCATAGAATGGCGGATGTCCTAAACAGCATTCTGGCCTCAGAATCAGCCCTAAAGGCATTCGGATCTGGCTGAAAAGCTCATGAGAGTATTTCAGTTATGGAAAAACAAGACACTCTGGGAAAAAAAAAAAAAAAACTAAATGAAAGATCTCCACAATTGAGATCCCAGTGGAAAGAACAGGTCTTCAAAGAAGGAGGTACCTTTCTCTGAAGGGAGGAGAGAACTTCCACTTTGACTATGACCTTGTCTAAACAAGATAAGAGTCGGAGAACTCAAAAGGCTTCCATAGCCTTGGAAACTCATGACTGGAGCATAGGGAGATTACTGATGCCATAGACAGGAGTGTCAATTTGTAAAGTCAACAACAGGAGTCACTGTGTACTTACTCCTCATGTAGGATCTCTGTCCTTAATGTGCTGTACATTGAGATTTAATGCTATAATGAGTACTCAAACAGTATATTTCACTTTGTGTTTCTATGTGGATGCAAACTGTTGAAATCTTTACTTAATGTATACTAAACTGATCTTCTGTATATATAGAAAATTGAAAATGAATCTTGATATGAATGGAAGGGGAGAGAGAGCGGGAAAGGGGAGGGTTGTGGGTGGGAGGGAAGTCATCGGGGGGAGGGGGAAGCCAATGTAGTCCATAAGCTGTACTTTGGAAATCTATATTCATTAAATAAAAGTTAAAAAAAAAGAAAGATGTCAAACAGCATAAAATGATGACAGAATGAAGCACATTTCACAAGATGCCTTATGAGGGAAATGACGTGACAAGAGTCACCCTTAAACATCAAAGATAAAATGACAGATAAACTAGAACCACAGAAGAAACGGCAGTGCTTGCATGTATGGTCCTAATGCTTTTTAGTTTTCAGCTTTTTTAACTCAGACAAACCTCTTTCACAGACCAAGCTAGCTTTCTTCCATCACTAAATGCAGCAGATGTCCCAATTATTTCCTGTTATAAATCTGTCTCCTAAGTTAACAATGTAAATCAGCCTTCATGCTAACACCAAGCAAAGGCAGAGGTGGGTGCTCGTGAGTGCATATTAATAGTTAATAACTGGGTTTCAAATGGTGCTTCAGAATTAGATAAGGATCCTTCAATTTTAGAGGTTTTCATCTAATTTAAGACACCATGAACCATAAGGCACATCACTATTTTATGTACCACTAAGGTAAAAATGTTACCAAAAATGATTAGTTCAGGAATTGTATAACATACTTTCTTATCAGTGGTACTGAAATACCAACAAAATGTCTATCTTGAAATGGACACAATGCATTTTATGTAAGCAAATATGTATGTCAGAACAGGAATGAAAACATGAACCTTAGTAATTAAATATCATCAGAGGCACAATTAATTTACTGACCTTCTTCCCTCTGTAACTAACTAGTTACAGAATACACAAAATAGTAGAAACTAACTGGAAAGCTAGAATCCAGAAGTGTAAAGCTAAATAAGCCCTATGACAACTGATAAGTATAAAATAGGAACGTTTGGGGCCGGTGCTATCGCACAGCAGGTTAAAGCCACAGCCTGCAGCATCGTCTGGGTACCAGATCCAGTCGTGGCTGCCCCACTTCCAATCCAGCTCCCTGTTAATGTGCCTGGGAAAGCAGCAGAGGATGGCCCAATTCCTTGGGCCTCTGCACCCACATGACAGACCC